CACAAAGCTCGTCGAATGACTTTGCACCTTAACGCGAAACGCTACTTTTCTTATCTCCTCGGCCTCTAATCATTTCAGCGTTGCCTCATCGCTATTTAGAAAGAACATCGTAGAATAAACAGTTCTCACTCGCGATCATATATATTCATTAACGAACGTCGTATTTATCTAAACGATTTCTCGAAAAGTTACCTAACAATTCTAGATTGTATTTTCTGCTATGCTAATAACAATAAAAATCCTTCGTTCAACCTTTTACCATTTCATGAAGTACATACATCATTTAGAAACATACTATACGATTTTCTACGATCTCCAACAATTTGTTTATCATTTTCTATAGACAACAATTATTGTCTACGATGATGCGATCCAGGAGTACCACGAACAAGAACAATCGTAGCCAACAATTGTTCGAAAAATTCTTTCACCTCTTTCCATTACCTACCGAGAATCCTCTGCTTAACACGAACAACCCGCAGGCAAGTAACCAGGTAGAAGGAAAGTTCGTTTTGCAAGAAATGACGAGGAACGATCTTGCTTATCTGTTAAGCCGAGATAACAGATCGTCGCTCGTAAAGAGAGAAAACAATTAGAGGTAGATAAGAACGATATCCGGTGGAGTCATGGATTGCATACAAAGAAACGAACCATTACATTATAAACGAGTCATCGAAATTCTTCTGAGAAATTTCCAAAAGATACGGTAAATCGTTGCTTCCGTTCAAAATTACAGTAATCGATTCATAAAACGCATCGACTCGAAAATATGGAATACTGGGTTAATACCCGACCTTCCTCTATCCGGAACATCCAACGTTTGTAGAAACTTGAAAATCCAACTGTTCGTAACTGTTGAAAATATTTAAATAACAGCTAATTGCAAATATTGTTGTATTCATTTTAAATGAAATCAAAGTAGGCCTGACTCGTTCACTGTAACAATACTCTACATACTTTAGTGTAATATTCCGTTATTCGTAATAGAGGTATGTAGCTCGAGCAAATTTGACCAAGCATTCCATTAATTGATGCAAATGAGTTATGCTCAATAATTGTAATAATAAAACGGGGGAAAAATTCGCAATCATAAAGAAACATGGTTAGAATATACATATGTACTCTTTGGTCCGATCAATTTTTCTTCGTTCCGCGTTGTTAAACGATTTACGGTCAACTTGTTCGTTGGCTGACAAATTGTCTGTAAAGCTTTTGCGCTACTTGACCGTTGGAAAATTTTGATGGCTTATCGTTTCCCTTTAAATGTACCTTCGAACATTGACGGTGAAAAGGTTTGTCGATATCGATTCTCGATACATGTACCCCGCGTAACTGGGCTCGAGCATATCTCTTGCCTATCTTGTCTTCTCTGCTACCCTTTTTAGGTACTCCAAGTCCGAACAGAGAAAAACGCACCTGACCTTACTACCTGTCTGAGCCATCAGCAAAGAATGTCAACCACGACTCGTGAAATCATCGACTGGCATACCTACAAACTTGAACCGCTATTTACGTTTTCAATTCGAAAGAAAACAAACCCAGTGAAACCCGTTGGTCAAGATGAACGTTTCAACGACTTTTCACGAGAAAATCTCACCGAATAAACGAATAAATTGCGATTCAAAGTGCTTACGAGAGAACATGCACTCTCTTGTATACAGAGAAAAATGCAATTCCTCGTTTCATCCTACCAGAGAAAGTAACTCGAGCTTTTCCTGCCTACCTTGTTTTACTTCCATTTCCCGCGATCTTAATCACTGTCTTCTCGCAAAAGCAACCTATGACCTACACAACCAATAACGGAGCAAAACGAGTATATATCATCTTCACGGGGCTCGTCCACAAATTTCATTACTCCACTATTATTAGCTACCTTCAAATTAATCCCCTACAATTTACATCGACCAATATCTATATTTAATGGAAGCGATCAAATATTATTCAATCGTTATTATACATATTACTATTTTGACGATCAGAAAAAAATGATAGAAACTCATGTTCAAACCGTAATCGAAATATGGACAGAAGAATGAAACAAGGTAGTTAGTTATCAGGATCTTTCAATAACGAGTTCATCGACACGCAACAGAAAGTATACGACGTTTGCGAAGACGGTGTGTGTGACTTGCAGAACCAACTGAATAGAATCCCGGTACCTGCTGACCAACAACTGTCGACAAACGATCAAGACATTTTAACTTGCGTCATTATTCTGCAAAATGCGTCAAACAATTCTCTATTCGTTTTAACCTTCTTCCAGATATTTTATGTACCTAATCTCGAAGATATTCTTTCCTACACCTTCAAGGTTAAAGCTGATAACAGTTTGCAATTAGTACGATTTTAACAAGAGATTATGATTAACCTCTTACAGTTAATCATCTTCGAACCAGTCAAAGTAAAGGTGTGGCATTTAATTCGTCGCTCAAATATTTAATTTACAATCGGCACCACAGTGTACGAGCGAGCGAACGAACATGATCGATCCGCAGGTTTTTTAAACGATAATGCTTTATCAGTAAATCAACAATTGCCGCGAAAGAAACGTATCTTGCATTGGCATTTCAAATATGTACCATTCGTCGCGCCTCGCCGCGGTTAGTTAAAGAAAATCAAGTGTATTCTCTATTCTCTAGAGAGAATATTATATTCTAGAGATCCTTTCAAAATTGTAAAAACATTTATTTGCTAGCGTTGGTGAATTTTCAATTGTTTTAAAAAGAGAAGAGAAAAAATATGTAAGCAGAGGATCATGTTGAAGAAGGAAATTTTCAAAGCAAGGATCTATCTGTATTCTTCTTTTCTTAGCGAAGAGCATGGCGAGGCACGCCCGTGTTGTACGTGTACATATGCTCACGAACGGCCGTTAGCGGTTAAACACGAACGCGTCCTGTATCATGATTTCATGATTCACGAAGGAATACGAGTAGAACGTCAATGAATCGTAATACACGATAACAGATATGATCGAACGCGATATCGTTTCGAAGAAGAACAAACAACGTTTATATACAATATCGTTAATACAAGGGGTTAAAACAACTCCCTGAAAAAGGTAAAGGTAATTATCGAGCATTTTGGCCGGTTCGCGTTATAAACGCCACCAACACTGTAAAGCCGAAGCAACCGTTACCGCATGCAGGCATACATACGCACGTACAATAATATTTGCACCAGTTTACTCGATAATTTAATGAGATTTCGGTAACGCGACGAAAAAAAACAAAAAAATCGAAAATATAAGACAATCAAATCACGTAAATAGAGATTTACAGCCGAATCAAGGAAAATTCAGCAATCTCTGTATGTACTTATACATATAGGTATATACCTGTTCGAACGAGATTATAGAAGGAAAAAATAACTACCATTCGGAATGTACCAATGAATTATTTATGGAGAACAGAAAGTAAGAAAGATGACGAACCGGGACGGAGCACGATTCTCGATCTTACGCCTACCTGCAAACGTAGACAGGCGTGAATACTAGTACTTTGGCGAAGAGAATCCTTCGAGAGAAAATTTGTGAACCTGCTAGATCTACGGAATCGTGATTCCTGACTTTCTCACTTCCTAAACTTGAATCGATGAAATATCAATTTAAACGGTAAAACAGTATTAACGCATCAATGTAACGCCTAACAAAGTCCGTTCCACGTCGTTCTAAGGTAAAATGACAAGTTGCATACTGTCACACCACATCACACCGGTATTCATCGAACATTTCATGAGAAAGGAAGCGAAGGAGAACAGCGATGAGTACACGTACACCCGAGTTGGTTATACTGGAAAAGGAGGGGATATACCAAAGGAGAGAAGAACGTCGCCCGCGGCTAGCAACCGCAAAGGCAAAACTCCCGTGAGTGGTTTGCCACCGTGAACTGGTTTTTCGGGGATATCTGGTTGTTACGCGTTGGCGACAAACATGGGTCAGCATCCGATGCCGTTCGATACCAAACGAATATCCCGTATGTTCGTCTATGCGTATATGTATACCCGTCGCGAGGAAACGAGAAAGATAGGAACGGCGAATAGCTAGAGCTGGCTACAACGAACAGGGAAACGAAGTAGACTTACCCAGAGCTCTGTACCCCAGCTCATGTTTGCTGGGCCGGCTAAACCAGGCACAAGCAGAATTACTTTCACTCGACACTTCACATGTAGCGTCGCAGTTCAAAAACACCTCCTCTTATCGAACGAACCAGCACTGAAAAACGCATGAAAAATCACGCGTCAGACTCACCGCGCACAATCACTGAAGAAACGTCTCCAACATGTCGGCCTGTAACCACTGACTGGCCGGACCCAACTGTCCATCAAAACCGCCCGGAATTTCAACGTGGCGCGCTCTCTCGAACTATTCCTGTATTAACGAACAGTAGTGGGGTAGAGCGTCTTCTCATTGCTCGAAATTTACACAAATTTATTCTCCATTTCACCAACGAGTATACTTCCTAGACGACTATGTTTCGGTTCCATATATTTCGTGATCTATGGTAACGCGCAAGCGCTCTTGCAACAACCGGAACGGCAAGAAATATATACCCCATGGCAAATAAACATATCATCGTTTTATCATGTTTTTTTTTCATAATTATTAAATACTCTCTGTTGTTTTCTGTGTATATGTACTTATATGGGAATATGCATATATTTTTATAAAAATGCTGTAGGAGAAATTTTTTTAATGCGACTTTTGGTGCTATCTATTGTCCCTAACCGGAACTATCTATTTGATTGTTTCTGCTCTCTACCACCAGATTGCAGGACTGAACTAAATCTTCTGTTTGTTGTATGTAATTACTGAACTCCGAATTCCGCATCGGTAAAACAGGCCATTTTTGATCGAAAATTAAACTGAACAGAAACTGATTTAAGCACCACCTGAATTATTGCATCCAACTAACGGCATGCTATACTACGTTACCTTTCGCAAATACCTAAATGACACATGTATGCTATATGTATTTACAAGTACATAATTAAACAATACTGACCATGCATTCATAATTATTAATTTTCTTTCCGTAAAATTGTATTTGCAATGTGGTACACTTCAGAACCTCAAAGGCATAGTTCCTGAAAAAAATATAACAGAGATTAAATAGAAAAAAACCCCATAAATCTCGCAGCCAATTCGCTCGTATTATTTGCTGCATAATTAATAAGTGTACCATTGAAATAATGATGCAATTATTAATAATCCATCAAATAATAACGATTTCCCAGGTCTCACCACGGGGAGGTTGCTGCGGTTGGAGACCCGCCCTACCTCATCCCATCCACCCTCCATTTATGCAAATTTCGACTTTTATTCAATAATATCATCCTCTTGGTGCACATTTGCAAAATGTTTCGATTGTTGTGCAAACGAACAACAAAAGGAGCATTGTTTTTATTCACTACCTACCTATCTACTTATCTATACATATATTTACGTAGATTTTTATTCCTATCGCAACACTTTTTAATTTTGATTTTGATTACAGATCTGTAATTAATAAATATGCAATTGCATATTTGTCCTATAGACTTATATTACTAAGAATACCTACAAATACGAGCGCTCGTAATTATATTAAAAATTCGCTTAAATCTAACGCTTCCTAATTAAACACTGCAGTGTTAAACGATTATATCTTAATGACCATAAAGTTAAAGGGATTATTAAAGGGATATACATAAATAAGTACAATGAATTTGTTGATTTTGTTGTCCTCACCAGAATACTTCCTGAAATAAACTGAAAAGGATTAAACATAATTTAAAAAAAGAGTGAGGCTTATATAGCCTTAATCATAAATTTACAACCTGCCTGAAACAAACAGAAAAGGATTAAATACGATTTTCGAAAATAATACGGTTCAGATATTACCACTCATAAGAATCATTTTCCCTTTTCAATCATTTTCACCTTGTTTTATTTAATTGAATACATTGAATTCCATTTTTGGACGCTAGATTTTATATTACATTTCTTCCAGTCTATTATCCGATATTATTAATTCACACTTCCTATAAAGATATTTCTCTGCAACAGAAACTCATTAATCGAATTCATACAAAGAAAAAAAAATGTAATAGCTGAAAAGAAGATACATTAGTAACAATAAAATTTCACAAAAATCAAAGTAATGGTTAATGAGTCATTTCCAAATAAGAAAACATCAATTAGACACAAAATATGAATTAAAAACGAATTTCAGTACCAAAATAAAAGCAGAAAAAGATTTATAAAAAAAATTGTTATTAAGTAAGTGATTTCAGTTAGAAACATTAATTATTTCATTTTATGGCATAATATTTAACATTAGTTCATTTAGTAACCAATAATATATAATATTTTAATTGAAACAACTGTCTTTTACTGCAATATACGTAAGTACAACCATGATTCTACTTGACTTTATTGCATTATATTATTCAATACACCTTTCAATGCAAATTTATTGTAAATGGAAAAACTGAAAAGAAAATCACGAGTGGACTTTGCTTTTGAGGAAAAGAATTTGAAAATTTATAAAAGTAATTTAATTAGCATCTCCGTAAGCTTGAAACAAAACATCGCGATCAAAAATTAAAACTAAACAACCCGAACAACAATTATCCACTACTGTTGTTTAAATAAAGTAGAATTAAAATAATAAGCTATCTCGAATGAACAAATATCCCTTGAAATAATTTATCACCAATCACAAAATAAAATGAATTTCCATTTTAAATACAACTTCGAATAAAGTTCTATTTAAAACTTTATCGTATTTAATAATATTCTGAAAACATTAAATTCATATATTATTTAACAGTATTTCCAATAACCGAATGCTCAATATTTTCAAAATTAAAAAATGGGAAGAAAAAAGAATGGGGGCGTGGCAGTGAGAGGGAGGGTACAGGGGAACCTGAAAAGAAAAGTTTGACTGCCCATAAGAGCAATCCCTAAGCCCTAAGCAAACCCTATAAAACAAACCGAAATCACACGCAACACTAATTTCAAAATTGCAAACATTCTGAACTATGACAAAACATCGGCTGGCAACGAAGGGTCTCACGCCCCCTAGACTTACGCCAGACGCTACATACCACCCACCCCGCCTGGACGTCGTGACGCCAGGACAGAGTGCACCCCTTCGCTAAGAGCGCTACCCGCCCGTCCAACACGTTGCATCCAACGGTGTCAGATTGACGGACGCCCATAGTATAGACAAAAGGACTGCAGTTTAGAATATGGTAACATATTTTCATATGTTCCGTATTCTAAAACTGCGCCTGCAAAGGCCTAGTAATGCATGGGTATATCTCCCAGAGATGGTGTTCACGGTCTTAGGCCGCGGAATCCAATGGATTCCCACCGAATGTGAGTCATAGTTACTTCCACTAATTTAATAACAATCGCGAATTCAGTCGCAACACTAATTTCATTAATTATATAATATGTACAAAAGCGTACGCGTGAAGGCTGCTCCATTATACGCAACACTAAGCTGAAAAAAAGAAAAAAAGAGAAAACGCGAACTGTAACGCAACACTATTCAAATCTACCGAATTTTATAAGACGCAACACTAATCTAAAAAAGGGGTACAGCCAATCCAAGGCTGTACCACGGCAGCTGGTCCATAGCTGCCTTATGGACCATGGCAACTCCACTGGATCGTTTTTGGGCATTTCTAATGCAAAACGCGAATATTCATTACCGCAACACTAATTAGCAGGGAACTCTATAAACTAATGCAAAGCAATCGCGTATTTATAAGTCGCAACACTGGGAAACAATCGCGGTAATGTCATTCGCAACGCTATCTTTAACAGACATGCAATTTAAATGCAGAAAAGGGGGATTCTCAAACCGTGAATTTTTTACTCGCAACACTAATTTCATTAATTATATAATATGTACAAAAGCGTACGCGTGAAGGCTGCTCCATTATGCGCAACGCTAAGCTGAAAAAAAGAAAGAAAGAAAAAACGCGAACTGTAACGCAACACTATTCAAATCTACCGAATTTTGTAAGACGCAACACTAATCTATAAAAGGGGTACAGCCAATCCAAGGCTGTATCACGGCAGCTGTTCCATAGCTGCCTTATGGAGCATGGCAACTCCACTGGATCGTTTTTGGGCATTTCATCATATATCGCAACTCTAATGCAAAACGCGAATATTCATTACCGCAACACTAATTGGCAGGGAACTCTATAAACTAATGCAAAGCAATCGCGTATTTATAAGTCGCAACACTGGGAAACAATCGCGGTAATGTAATTCGCAACTCTATCTTTAACAGACATGCAATTAAAATGCAAACAAAGGGGATTCTCAAACCGTGATTCTTTTACTCGCAACACTAAAGCAATGAACATTAAAAAGCAAAACTCTCAAAAATCTTAAAGCAATCAAGATTGAAAAATTAAATTCTATTTTAAAGCAATGCAAGAAAGAAACACTAAATGAAAATCGCGATAATCATGTATACGCAACATTAAATTGAACCGTGATCGATATTCATTCGCAACACTAAATTGAAAACGCGATTTGCCCAAAATCATGGGGGTCACGGGCCCCCTCTTGTCCTGAAATTACAAAACTACAACTACAGGCAAGCACAGTGACAAAGTAGTAACGATAATGATTTCCCATCCTTTTTTGCAAAAGGATGCAAAATCATTAGTAGTTCCCCTCTTGAAAGACAGTTTGTCGGGGCGTTTCGGCATATAGCCTTTTCTTTCTTCGGGCGGTCCACCCACCTGAAACTTATATCTAAAACTCGAGACTTGCAAATTCGCAAAACAAAAAAAAAACCAATCAACAGAAAAGAAAAATCGCGAAACTCTAATTGACACGTGGACGAAAAAGGACTTTACATAAGTCGTTGTTCGTGCACACGTGCCGTGCTCGAGGAGAACTTGTGCGTTTCGTACCTAACATCGCGATCGCGTATGACGACTTATGAAGTCGCCAAAAATTTGAAAAATTGTACAGATAGATCAAAGGCGAACGGCATACTCCATTCGTATCGATCGTATCGTCAATTCTTCAAATATATTCCAGGTACAGGTTAATCACGCGAAATCGCGCCTACCCGACCAAGAGACTGTGACAACCTGTCCCGGCCCTACCTACTTACGATCTATCACACACACCAGAAGGTATACTACCTACCTACCTAACCCTATATTTAAAAAAGGCAAAATCACATTCTCAGAAAAATTCATTCCACGACCCCCATACACTCCACCCGGGCGCAAAAGCCTAAACTAGGGAGAACGTCCCGGGACGCCTCCGTCACCCGAGTTTCATCTCACATCACACTCTACGGTACGTACCATTTTTCACTGAAATCGTCTGGCAAGGCTAGCAATCATTGCGTATAATGATAATTACAAAATTTAATTAACTACTTTGATATAGAATATTTCATAATAATGGTAATAATCGTGGTAATAGTAATGGTAATAATACTATTTCGTTTGTACGTTCATTGTACATCTTATCGAATAAAATATTATTTCAAATTAAAAGTTAAATGTAAAAGTTATTAAACCGACGCAATCCCACAGCCTAAAAACACACACACCATATGTGGAAATTACGTCGTGCACGATATACTAACACAATGCCAGCCGCTAATTAATTATTATTCTTATGAACTAGGTCATCGTGCCCATTGCCTCTACCCATCCAAGTAGCACCTGGGCACGTGAATGGGCTTTGGGAATAAACACGGAAGGGGTTAAACCTGAAAATCCTGATCTAGAAACATGATTAGTACATAAACATCTAACGGGCTAATATTTCACTATTTTAATAAAAGTGACTCGAGTTTGTAAATATAAAGCTTTAATAGCAAATACAGAAAAGTAAAATAGAGCAACTATGACGCAAACATGGTGCACTGCTAATATCAGCTGGCAACGAAGGGTCTCACGCCCCCTAGACTTACGCCAAACGCTACATACCACCCACCCCGCCTGGACGTCGTAACGCCAGGACAGAGTGCACCCCTTCGCTAAGAGCGCTACCCGCCCGTCCAACACGTTGCATCCAACGGTGTCAGATTGACGGACGCCCATAGTATAGACAAAAGGACTGCAGTTTGGAATATGGTAACATATTTTCATATGTTCCGTATTCTAAAGCTGCGCCTGCAAAGGCCTAGTAATGCATGGGTATATCTCCCAGAGATGGTGTTCACGGTCTTATGCCGCGGAATCCTTCTAACTAATTTCATTAATTAAATAATAAAAAGGATTGAGTTTAAAAACCAAAAGGATTCCCACCGAATACTAGTCAGTGCATCGTCATATTTACTCTCGCGTCGGAAATTTCTCGCAACACTAATTTAATAAAGGCAAAACTCTAATAAAAAGGAATTTAATGTCAAAATTGAATTTGATATTTTATTAAAAGCAAAATGACTAATTAAGAATTCTTTACAATGAAAAAAGAATATATTGTGAAAATTAATAAAAAATTAAAACATCCTCGGGCGACTCCCTCCTCAGAGTAAATTTTCAAGAATACGCAAAATGTGTTGAAATAGATCACTCTGACTTGGAAATCTACCCGTCACGAATTGTCTTCTTGCACATAAATTGTTCATTTTTTCATGAACGTTTAAGTAAGTTAAACTTCGCTATTGAATGAATGAAATTTTAGAAAATTCTCAAATTATATTTGAATTTATAATATACAAACTGTAATTAAATCAATGTAATAACATCATTAATATGTATATCCAGTATACATATTACATAATACTATCAATATTATATTGCTTTGAACCATCGCAATAACTAAGTCAGATAGTATTTGACATCTCTATTACAGACAAACTAAATAAAATTGTTTCGGTATTCAAATATTCTAATTCCACATTTAAGAACATTTAAGAACATTTAAGAGCATTCATATATTTCAAAAATATCTATTAGAATATGTGGAATTGAAATGATATTAAAACGCGGAGTACAAGAAGACCTAGCTTAACTAAATGAAATGAAACAATAAAAATGTTACTACTCATGGGTATGTATAATCATACCCATGGTCACTATGCTTGCCAAGCACGTATACAACTAGTAGCCCGTGTCGATTCGGACCATTCGTCCTACGACATGATTGGGCTACCAGAGGAACCATAAAACATGCGACTCACCGTTCGCAGATATACTCTTCTTCCGACAGTCAAACACCAGGTAGGAGGCTGCCATGTAGGAGAATACTGAAGTCGTGAAGAAATTCATCTGTAACAAAAAAAGAAGAATTACGGTTAATTTTGAAAATTATAAATTTTTATTCTAATAAAATTATATATGAAATTGAATTTTATAAAATATTAGCAATCAAAAAGAAATCTCAATTATCATGGGTTGAAATTGTAAATTATTCTATTTTAATAAAAAGCAATTAAGTGACGTACCAAGACGGAAGTCGTGAAGAAAGCCATCATCAGGATATCCAGGAACTCGGCAAACAAAAAATTCATCTGTAACAAAACAAACAAGAATTACGGTTAATTTTGCAAATTATCAATTTTTATTCTAATAAAATTATATATGAAATTGAATTTTATAAAATATTAGCAATAGCAATTAAGAAGAACTCTCAATTACTAAGTATTGAAATTGTAAATTATTCTATTTCAATTAAAATTAATTAAATAAAGTAATAAGATACTTACACTCTTTCCTTATGGAGCAACGCCCAAAACTCCTCTTCAGTGGTGCTTTGACTCTAATCCCGGATATATCGAGCAAATAAAAAAAAAATTAAAAATAAAAATAGTAACGCGACCGTGAATAATTTCCGGCGAACAATTGTAAAGACTCTACTTTCACGATGGAAAAAGAAAAATCAGAGCCACGCTGCTCTAGAAAATATTTTATTATACGCAGGAAACACTGACTCTACTTTCGCGTGATTCCTAACTGTACAAGCGCAACTCTATTCAGGGCCAGTTCACCCTTGAAAAAATCAAAACATTGAAAATATTCGTACAAACACTGACTCTACCGACCGCCTTGCGCGCGGCCACAACAATTCCTGAAAGAAAAACTTAGTGAGCAGGGATGGGCTGGGTGGAAATAAACAAAACAACATTCTTCTTATTGAGCTTTCGTAACGGAAATACTGTTATTAATGGCTTGTAAATGAAAATATCTATGTTCGTGAAATATATTCGACGAGCACAAATATTGTTAAAGCTGAATATTGATCCTAGATTTAAATGAAATGCTTTAAATAATTGTTGATAATTATTTTAATGAATATTACATCGATAGAAAATCATTTTGTAATAAAGATAATAGATTATTCTATTAAAGCAGAGGATTTTTGTTGTTAAGATTATAAGCATACTACAAATTGTTGGAAATTCTATTACGAATGATTTATAAATTATCTAATTCTTTTCAATAAGCAAAGTCCAATAATTAACCATGCTTAAACAGCATATGATTTAAAAACATGATTCTATTTTAGTTTAAACTTGCATCGAAAACTGGATATTATAATATAATTACTACGATTTAACAAAAATAGATTGTTTAAGATAATTAATAATTGCAGAAGAGAAGTAATCATTTGCAGTAGAATACGAATTATTTCAATTTTGTTCTAGTTTAAAACAAATGTATTAAAATACTGGACGAAATTATTCAATAAAATGGAAAATTAATTATTCTTTTTCTATGAATTGGTTAAAGAAAAAAAATGTCTTACTCTTTTCTTTCTTGACTTCGGTAGCAAGTAATTATCAAAAATGCTTATAATTAACAACGACTCAATAAAAAACAAGTAATAATAAATGTTAATAATTGATTAAAATAAATTAAAACAATAAATTCTTACGAAATCCTATTTTAAACCTATATCAGATGTCATGGCGTCCTTTCAATATTCATCAAATATCTGTAACAAATAAGAAATACCAATTTATGTAAATAAAATTTAATCAACAATAATAAAATTATTACTAATAAACGATCGAATTATAATTTATGCAAAATATTTTAATAGGTAGAGGGCGCACCTACTACTTATACGGAAGGATGCTCTCAACACGTCTTGTCACTTGGACGTTCGCGAGAGAAATGGTGAGACCTTCCTTCTTGCCGAAAACCGATCAGCACCATTCGGTATTATTCGGTATTATTCGGTAATGTTCGTCCCCAGCCGAACCGAAGCCGGTAGACGAACATATCTCATAATATTACGATGCTCAAGAAAGAAGGTTATTAAATATCAAACAGTAAATTATGTGAAAGAATATTAAAAACGTTCAATATCGGTTAGGAAATTAACGATATAAAAGGGAAAATAATTCAAATTCTGCTGTTCCAACCTCATTGTACAATCGCGACAAGAGCACAAATTCTCAACTCTTGTAGTTTTGAAGAAAATGCCGAATTAATGTCAAAGATCAAGAATCTAGACTTCTCTTCGATGGTCTTTTCTGTTTTTTGTACTTTTAACACCCGATCGGCAATTTAATTTAATATTTGAAGATAATTTAATCTTACCTGTTGCAGACACGTGAAAGACGGACGAAGCTTCAGAGAGGACTGATGCACTGCGCCACAAATCGACGCACTCGCTCACACAACGACGTGTCTGATTGGTCGAAATGAGAGGACGCCAACATGGGACGACCAATCACAGCCATCGATAGAAGTTTCAAAGTGCTTCGAAACTTTAATACTAATCGTAAGGGAAAGGTTCGTTAAAAATTATCGACGCCATATTGAAATAAAATCAAGATTACTTTTCTCAACTTTAAACACCAAAATATAAGAAACAAAGTAGAAAAAATATAAGATATTGACGGGATTTAAGAAATTATTGATATAAAAGCAGAATAAATGAAGGACATGTTATTTTAATTCGTATATATATCGGCGTAATAGTAAAACACGAGAAAATCAATTATCACGATATATAACAATAAATTACGGAAAAAATGTACTAAAAACATGAAAAAATACAATAATATTCGAAAAATTATTGATATAAAAAGAAAATAATTCAGATTCTGTTCTTCCAACTTCATTGTCGATTTACAGCAAGAGCAAAAAATTTCAACTCACGTATTTTTAAAGATAACCTCGAATTAATGTCAAAAAACAAAGAGCTAGACTTCTCTTCGGCTATTCTTTCTCTTTTTTGTATTTTCAACACCCGGAAGACAATTTAATTTAATATTTGAAGATAATTTAATCTTACCTGTTGCAGACACGTGCAAGACGAACGAAGCTTCGAAGAGGAATGCTGTACTGCGTCACAAATCGACGCATTCGCTCACACAGCGACGTGTCTGATTGGTCGAAATGAAAGGATGCCCAATGAAACAACCAATCACAGCCATTGGTAGAAGTTTCGAAACTGTAATGCTAATCGTAATGGAATCGTTCATACAATAAATATCAACGAAAAAATCGAATAATGTACTTTTTTTAGCAACACGCGTCTTGTATTACATTTTATATTATTGTAATTATGTAATAAATAAAGGGGAATATTGCTTTAATAACACTTTCCTATGGCGTGATTTTGATACGAAATATTTAAGAACATATTATTTCGGATATAAATTTTGACACTTATGTGCAATGTATGCATAAGCGAAATGTTAATATGTACAAAAATTGTAATCAATCGATTCGGTCGAGCACAGAAAACGAACGAACTGCGCCCTACAGAAAAAACGAGGAACTAAATTTGTGGTCTGTTTTACCTTTTTGACGTCTTTCAATGAACAATCAACGAATAAGACTCATAATAAAGTTCAATTGTTGAAGTATTAACTAACACGTAAATTGTTATGATAAACGATAACTATAATGTTTTCTATGTTGCAAGTCCGTACTGATATTAGTAAATCTGATAACAGAGTGTTATAGTCGGTGACAATTGTTGAAACAAAGATATTTTGTTCTGATGCCAAATTGTATTGATTGTTATACATTTAATGGTTTCCATACGAAAACACGATATCCAGGTTTAAAACGAATTATACGAAATGGGTAAATAGCAACATGCTCGATATTATTTTTCTTTACCTTTATGCCAATTTAACCTAACTTAACCTTTTTATTGAAACAGAGTTACGAAATCGCAGATCTACTTTGTCTCAGAAAAATTTGTCGCAATCGAGCAATAATAATAATAGACAAAGCAACGATGTTATCAGTTTTTCTCAACCTGTTCCGAGTACTAGCAGGCGTACTAGGGGGAGTATAAATTCCAGTCAACGATTAGACGAATCTCCGAAACGGATGCTTTCCGAAGATCAAAACGAACTTGTTAATAGCCTTATAAGATACCTTTTGGTTTTAGACAGGGAAAAACAAGTTATCAGTAAGGCTCATTTAGTCAAGAATGTTTTTGGTAAGAGAGGACAACACTTTCATCAGACATTGAACAAAGCTAAAATTCTTTTGTCAAAGGTACACACAAAATTTCATTGTTTCTTAATGATCCAAATATTTTAGTGACATATCACAAAAACATAAAGGTGTACAATTATGTGTATTGACAGATTTTTGGATATCAATTGGTAGATCTGCCAGGTAACAAATATATCCTAGTAAACGAAATACGAAACGAAATACCACATATTTATCCTACTGCAGAAGAAGGTAGGCAACAAGTACTGCTATTTATGGTGCTCACACACATCTTTATGCAAGAAGAATCCTGTACTGAAGGTAAAAACGTTGTAAGACTAATATTATGTAACAACACGTAAATGAAAGCTGCATTAAAATAATTTCAGAAACACTATGGAGTTTCCTTACAAATTTGGAAATTCTACGTTCCGATAATCAAGATCACCATTACTTTGGCAATGTTAAGCGTTTGATAACCGAGGTAAGAACAACGAGTGGAAGAAAAAAAGAGGGTAAAGTATCAGAAATTAAGGATTCCGTTTATTCAGGTCTTCGTCGCTCAAAAATATCTCGAAAAAGTGGTTACGAATTCAAACGATACAATTGAATATAAATGGGGACCTCGAGCTGAACACGAGTTTTCTCGACGTTCAGCCTTAGAATTCGTATCTGAGGTAATACCAAGCTTTCAAATTGATTTGAAAGATTTCCTTTTTTTAAGTGATTATTTGAGGGACAATCTTGTTTTAGATGTACTGTGGACGGGAAATAAACAGCTGGGCATTACAGTATAAAACCTTACTGGCCCGCGAACAGGCTAAGGAATCCCAGTAACTCGTTACATCGAGCAAACCAAACCAATTACACTGGGTGTCGTTACGTTCGAATGGATAGTCTAATAAGAAATACTTCTTTCCAGGTGTAAAACACAAAACGAATCCTATTATTGTGGGATCAGGACCTAAGCTAACCCAATAATGAAAGGAATCGTGAAAGTAGGGACCAATGATGTCGCGTAACGAATAAAATAGCCGGCTAGCAACGCAAAAAGGTCCTAGGTTTGATTATCGGTATAGTGATCCTTATTTTTCATCGATTCTCACATTATTGATACTGTTTACAAAGCTTACAAAGAACTAAAAGAAATGGAAATTGAAGATTTTTAATTGATAAAAGCTGTGTCGAACGCGATCGTCGCGCTTGTCCCACCGAGCAATCGTTCCGTCAAATTTTGTTCAAATGTCCCTGAGAGCAGCCGTAAAACTGCGAAGCAAGATTAAAGCTTGCACGCGGTCTTCGAGTTCAGTAGGAGGGTCAGAAAGAATCTGAAACGTTCGGTTGCCCTAGTTTTAATTAAATCTAATCGGATTCATATTTTCTTACTTTTAACGTTACGTTACACAACGCGATGAACAATAAGAATTGGAATAACTATTGTATCGCAGCGTTACAAATGTTGGCACGTAATTGTCCAGGCTACGATTTTCTTAATAAACTGCTGCGTTCGATTAACATACGCTAATTCGATCGGTATATTTGCGTTAACACGAAAAAAAAATAACTTTTGATCTTTTTCTCGCTTCCTTCCTAAACTCGAACAACGAATGTTCTTCCTAAACGAATGTACCTAGTAATTGGAGTTAACCGACGACGTAGCAGCGATGAATCCATAAAAGATCAGAGAAGAAATGTTAAAACATAGAGATAGGATATCCCGTTCGCAATCGAAAACATACCGTTCCGCTTCCGTTTCCGTGGTGAAATAGCAGGAGGATCGCGCGCAGCTACGAATCGAGCGAAGCACGTATCAGCTCGGCCAGCGAATCTGTGTCAGGCTGGGGGGCTGTAAAGTAGCGCGAGGCTCTGCCAAATGCCAGTGCTCGACCGTCCTCTTTGGTAGGTGGTAAGAGCGGCGTGCGCGGTTTCGCACTGCCGCAGTACCGCCGCGAATTATTCTTACACGATTACCGATACTTTTATCTACCTACCATTTTTTTCTCTACAACCGAATCTGGTACGGCCTACTTTTAGTAACACCGTCACCAATTTACCGTGGGACCACTAATGTTTGCGTAGAACGGTGCTAAACGGAATCTTACATAGAAAATAATCGAAGAACATCGACAATACCGATTAACAATGATAGAGGATAATACAACGATCACGCGATACAACGATATTAAGCAGAAGTGAAGAAAGATTGTAAAAAGATGATGAGAGCTAAAGCGACTTGTTCGAGCGATACCGTACGACGCGCTTCGTACAGCCAAATTTGAGACTCCTCCAGTTGGAAGCATCTCTAACAACGGCTGGTGAACGACCGCTTGTGAGTGTAAAATACATGGGACATTGGATGGATGAACCGAGGTACGCGGTGAGGCAGGCCCAGCCACCGAACCACCGATAGAGAAGAGGCGCGAACATCGAAATAAAGAGAAAAGGAAACGCGGTATTTTCGTCCTTCGAGCAAAATAACACAACTCGACAAAATGTTCAACCTGTATCAGAACTTGAACAAAAGGGACGACGATCACAAGGAATCGGACGTCACAGGGCACGACAGATTTTGGCAGGAACGACCCAAGACCCGTCGAAAACGACGAGCCGTTAATCGAAGGACTCAAAGTGCTATCGAATTAGATTCCGAGGCGATCGTCTCGGCACGAGGTGCTCTTCGCCGTGGAAGAAGCGCGAGCATCGAAGATGAAGACAGTGACGAAGAGAAGAGTTACCAGTTGACCAATAAAATCGACAATCTAGCCAAAATATTGTTCAATCGCGTATCCGCTGCAAGGGGTTGCAAGGAATCGGACGTCAGGTAATCTCTATTCGATTCACATTACCCATCTTCCTCGTTTTCTTATCTTTTTTTTTTTTTTTTTTTTTATTTAATAATTAACGTTACGCGTCCAGGATGTCAAAATTTTCCAGCTAATAAAACTGTTTAAAAACTGAATTCTCTTCCTGCTTATCTTTCATTTCCAGTTACAGAGTGTTTCACAACACGTAGGACCACGCGTTGCCTTTATTACCGCTTAGTTTTGCAATTGATTAACTTTTTGTTATTGTTAGTTATGACTGTACCCACCCCCGCTGACCTGACGGTCAGTCGTCCGTACTGGGCAGATTGTAGGTTTTAGGCGCTTTTTACTCGAATTTGTAAACGTTAATTACTGGAAAACAAAGTCTTATTCTGATCCCTAGAATCATCCCTTAAAAAATCTCCCACCTGTTGTCGAACACCCTGTATAGTAATAGTAAGTAAGTGTCTTGAGGGTCCTAGGCGTTACGAAACATCCTGTACGCGTAGCTCGTGCAACAAACCGAAGGAATATTACGTACGATCGATAGACGAATTGCTTTGATTGTAGCTAAGGAGCTATTACACGTCGATTCACCCTCCACCCCCTGCTTTCATCGATATACACAGTAAATTTCTTCTTTGTTCGTTCGATACTATTGTTCGTTCCCTCGTTTTTGTCCCTTTCGTTAACTTGCGGCATCGAAAATTTTGTTTGTAAGCCGTCGTCTATCGATCGACCTCGAGCATTCTCGACTCTTGATTGTGTACGGTTCAGCCGTGGTAATTTCTGCCGTGTACGTACACATACAGGTGAAATTTCAAACAAACGTTGATTCGATCGAAGCGACAAAATGTTTATTTTCCACGGTTTAGTCTCGATTCAGAGTTTCGAGTCAAAATTGATTTGTAATCAAACGCGCGTAAGTACTGTTCGATGGAAACGCCGAGCGTTGATCAGGACACGCCCGATCACCATAAGAGTTGCCCGCAAAACGTTAGATCCGGAGGAAAACGAATACCAACGGCACAGCCACGCAGGTGAATTACTTATCCCTCTCTTTTTCCATTTTACTTATATTGACTTTCTTCGAGTTTCTCCTCCCAAGAGAGACGATAGAAGAAAAGAAAATTTTATCCGGAAAATATCGGTATTATTGGATGAAACCTTTGCATTTGTAGAGAGGGATGGCTGCTCGCTGGTAATGCTAACGCAACTGATCCCGTTTGTAGTCGTTGCTGCGCCAACTTAATCCGTTACTGGCATCGCTCGAGAAATCATTCGTTGGACAGTGAAATAATTCTGAAACGTAACGATGATTTTTCAAACGATTCGGCTATCAGGGACAGGTGATATTTGTTCAGTTTCATCTTCGTTATACCCCTTCCACCTTCCCACTTACCACCCTCCTTGGTTCATTCACCCCTTTCTTCGATCTGCAAGTAAGTAAGTAAATAAGTAAAGAGTTGCGCTTCAAAAATTCAACTTACAATGAATTAATGAAACAAAAGGTAAAAATGTTCGCGTAGGAAATGGGTTTAATTGAAATTTTTTCCTGCCTGTTCCTGATAGAAATGGAAGACACAATTATACAGCGTTGGGTCACGGACCATCGGTCTGCGAGGACGTTGGCGAATACATGGAAATGGAGAAAAGATCTAGGGATCGTGCCTTATCAGTTTGCCAGGCTTATATTCGAAGAACGCCACGCTATAGTCTCGTCAAGCAGCTGAATAATCTCGGTAAGCACAATTCTAACTATGGGTCACTACCGTGTTAATTGCAATAACAAAGAATTCCTATTTTCTGCAATATACGTATGAAAGTGTGAACGTTCATTTTTCAAATTTCTATTCGTCCTGTTCTAGGCTCTAGAATGGACAAGCACTGGTTCACGGTGAGAGACACTTCTCTAAAGACCGATCGACTAATCACCTTAGCTCCGCTAAGCAGAAACTGCTCGTTGAGCATTTCTCCTTTAACTAAGAACATTCTGAACGACTTGTTCTTAGCCTTGCAACATCCGTACATATGTCCTATATTCGATATCGATTTTCTCGAGTTCGAGAGTCAAAATTACGTGATAGTAGTGCAGCCGATCAGTCAAGGTAGCTTAAAAGATTTGATCTATGGGGTGAGTAGTGACTCGCGCCGATCTGGAAGGATGAGAAAACCCTTTAATAATTTAAATATTGCTGCCGTTAGATCGAAAGAACCGGTTGGAACGAAGATTGGAGTCAAAAGTACGCTTCTCGCGGCAAAGGACTTCCTTTACCTCAGGTTCAACAAATGGGACGTCAAGTGCTGGAAGCGTTAATCTTCTTGAAAGAAAGAGGATTTCCAACCGTGACCCATTTACATTCCGGTAACGTGCTCGTACAAAACGGTGTCGCACGGCTTGCCGGCCTCGAGAACACGCTCCTCGGCTTCACCAGTCGTATACACCCTGTTATTACCTCTCGAATTTCTCAAACAATCTCGATCGACATAATATGTTTCGGTAATCGATCATCGATCACCATTATTCAACATCGTTCTTCTTTACTAAACATTTTACTAAATATTATTCTTTCAGGTCACATGCTATTTGAAATGTGCGCTGGTTACGAGTTACCATCGTTTAAACCGAATTCCGTGCATCTTTCGGATCTTGAAATGTATCCACAAGTACAAATCTTTCTCTTTAACTCTTTCTCGTTTGCTTATTTGCTTAATTAACACTGCTTCCTCGGTATAGCTCGTTTGCTTTCATTTTTCTTTCTTAATCGTATCATTGCCTTGCTTGGTTCGCACACTTTCAAGGGCTCGTGAGAAATGCAAACAAGCCCATGAAAGTATGTACACTATCGCCAAGAAGTTTGGAAACATTTCAATTGTTTTAAAAAATAATTAAAAATCTGATTCTACATTGTATTCTTTTGCTTAATTCTAATACTCTTTGTTTCCAAACTTTTTGACGGTAGTGTATATTAATTAACATTCATTGGCTAAAATTCATCAAAGCTTCAACTCGTAACAGGTCATCGAATTACTGAAATTCATATTCAGCGAACCATCTAACCGTCATAAAACCATCGAAGAGCTTCTCGTTCACGATTTATTCCGAAACATCGATCTTCGCGAAATGCGAAGTGCTCCAGTCACGGTGAGTATACCTACATCTTATCTTTTTTTCCATTTTTCTTTCTTTCTTTCTTTCTTTCTTTCTTTCTTTCTTTCTTTCTTTCGTTCCTTCTTTGTCTGTTTAACAAATTCTCATTTCAAACTGCTTTACTACCCTTGACTTTTCCTCGCAGATATTTCGTCCGACATTAACACCGCCTATCGTCAACTTACTCGACGGTATTAAACGACAGAACGCTAACAAGAGGTAATCACTGCGTAACATTAAAAATCAATAATGAAAGAAAGTTTGTTTTCTGCACATTTTCTCTCTCCACTGTACCCTTTTTTTGCTAAACATTCGTTTTGCATGCACAAACAGGCAGAGATCGCGCTCTATAAACGATGTCCATTTAACGGGCAGATTTTGGTAATGACCACGAAGAGATCCGTTCAATTTACCGATATAATCTCTTAAAATTTTCAACGGCCTTACGCTTCCTAACGTCGTTATTTTCTCATTTACAGAATCACACGTTTGGATAGCGGAGACATCGATGCGACGACTCTGCACAGACCGCATACAGTTTGCAAGAATTCGTTACTCGACGAAATATACAACGAGCTTTCAAACACGGCTGTATAATTGTGGGAACAATTGTTCATCTTGTCGCGATTTTATCTATAGAAGATCCATACGTTTCTTTACCGAGTGCCAAACAATTCTCCTCGATTCTTTATTCTTAGCAGTTGTGTATATCTCTGAACGAATTTATTAAAAAAGAGAAAGTGACAATAAAAAACGTTTAAAAAAACAAAAAAAACAGGAACACACACACGTACTACACACACGCAACGTCTTATACAAATCCAAATAATGTTATTTATTTTAAGTATCAAAAGACATCCAAGACATCTACATCAGCGAACGAGGTAACCATTTCGCGCGAGTAGGAAATTCCTTCTTTTCTTTTCCCGTCGAATTTTCATTTCGTTACTTATCAACTTGGAAATAATTCAATGGAAGCGATATAAAAGGATAGAAAAGAACTCTGATTATGTACATTTCACTGCACCATTAGCTTTTCTCAGTTAACAAGTACAGTTTCTATTTTATAGCAGAGTTAGCCATCTGCCGTCACGCGTCAACTTCTGAGACTGAAACGAACGACGAAATGTTCCTTCCACTATACTACACGTTCTCTTAAACGACGAAAGCCTAGCTTGCACACGAGCGTATGTACACCATAGAATTTCATCGGTTAATACGAAACATGCAAGCGGATTGTGCGTAAGTAAAGTAATAATAGAACGATGCTCGATTCTTGTCGTCTGAATGGAAAAGTAATATTTTGGTTTAATATTTGGACGATCAAACATTCAATTAACTCTAAATAAAATAAATCCATCATACGATGATGATTTACAAGATTTTTCTTTTCAACTTCCCCTCCCCGAAAACAGAAAGGAGCAAACTAAGTAAGTTCTATTCAAAAGAAATGCTTCTTTTTTTTTTTTTTTTCAAACAATCCCAAACTTGTTTTATAATGAGCATGCCATTATTAATATAACTTTATATATGAATCCACAATAAAAGAAACAGATTTTACGCGTAACACCTATTTTGTAATCGATCCGATCGAAGAAACATAAGCACCAGCAATTATTTCTGACAAACGTCGAACTGAAATAATCGAATGCTCCTTCAACTAATCAAAAAAATTATACATACATAATGCAATAAAGATACGCCAGTATGTAAGCGAATCTAAAGATTTGTAGTAAAAATAGGTATATTATTGCTTCTCGATCATCATTTTCGTTTTAACATACAAATTCGCTTGAAACGTTTATCCAATATTAATTTGAATCATTGGTTTCGCACGAACGTACACCTGTGAGTGTACGAATGTGCGCGTGTATCGTTAGAAAATTTCATTATCAAATAATTTAATCGATTATTTCTTACGATTTATGATGCGCCAGCTTCTAGTTCGCTTGCCGGCGTGTCTGGTTCTTCGTCGTTGTAAATGTTCTCAGCCATTTGCCAGACCTGCATTATATTATCTTCCGATACCGAACATATGACCCACGGTTCGTTTGGATTCCACGAAAAGTCACTAATTTTCGCGGTATGACCACCATGTATAAACTGCGAAATGAAAATGCAATAAATGATATTCCTCTTGTACAACATATTAGCGCATACCCGATTGTTAGGAAGAAAAGTATTAGATTAGATACCAATAACTCGGGCGGACCGTCTTCGGCATCTTCGCTAGACTGCTCCTCGCCAATTTTACTAAGATCCCATACGTGCAAACGCCTATCTGTACCGCTACTAGCCAATATTGTCTCGTTATGCGGCGACCACTGAACTTGGAAGATCTCGTCTTTGTGAGATTCAAAGGAATGTAACTTCAACTTTAGATTCCTCAAATCCCAGAGCGCCACTGTTTTGTCAGCACTGCCGGTTGCAAGAATGAATTCCGAATACGGATTAAAACTCAAGCAATTCACCTCGGCAGTGTGAGCGTCCACCGTATGGCTGGGTTTGCTCGTGTTGTTGCATCTACAAATCACGACGTTTTCATAAATAATATTTACACCGTCAACGGTAAACGGCAATTACCTCGTGTCCCAAATCATTAATTTTTGATCATCTGCAACAGATCCAAATAAAGATTCGTGCAACAGGTGCCAAGCTACGTCTTCGACGACAGCAGTATGCCCTGTAAAGATTGTTTTCGCATCTATCACACGATTTTCCTTGGGCGGTGCATTAATATCCCACAGACAAATTGTATGATCGTCGGATGCACTGAGCAAATATCCGTTAAGATTTGGATTCCACGATAGACCGTAACCTTCTTTTTGATGTCCTCTTAACCTGATAAAAAATATTTAAATCAGCGTTATAATAGTATTTATATTTTTTTTTAAATGGTCTTTGCTTTAAATACCTTAAATCAGGCTGACATTCGCCATTCGGATCAGGTTTACTCGGATGCTTCGTATAATCGAATACGAGAACATCGCTAGATGGTGTTTTAGTTGCAATTACGCATGGATTTTGAGGCATATATCTTGCTCTGTTTACTTCACCCTCGTGATTTATTTTTATTTCTATTTCTATCTTTCCGCTAACAGAACCGAAACCTCCGAATTCGCCTTTTTCATTGTCATAGTGAGATGCATCAAACTGAGCATCTTCGTTTGGCAACTGAACACTAGCGATAAGCAGATGATTTTGTTCGTCTGAAGTATGAGTACCTAAAATAAGTCGATGTACAGAATAATCTTTTCCTTCTGGTCTGGTTACGTCGGGTAACCATTGAGCAGTCAAAGATGGCCATTCCAAAGCGTGGGTCATCACAAGATCGTATAAGAAAGGAGTATTTTTCTTCCATATTTTATATTCTTCGTTGATAACTCTTTCTTCCACGGCATCATCAAAAGTTTCTGCAATAAAAACCATTAAAGTAAGGGCAAATATTAAATGATAAGCTATTCAAACAATTAACATGTTTCAAAGCAGTTAGAAGATAAAAGTATTTAGCATTTGTAAGAATAATTTAATTGGTACATTTTTAATAACAGAAACAAAATATCAAACTTTTATAAAAACCGCCCAACATATTTGACAGTAAGCGAAAAACAGAAAAAAATCAATATTTCAATAAAGTATTATTTTCCCTTACGATAATATAACCTGCCGGCATAATTCGCGGTTTTTTTCTTCACGGTATGAAACTACTTGTCAATTAAAATTAAATATTTTAAATAGCTTCAAACAATGATCTCTACTTCCGATATGAACAAGTTTCTTAGAAATTTCTTGTAGAAAACAATCCTATTTACTACAAGACGAAAAGCGTCCTTTCAATTAAGGACCTATCGTCTTAATTGTATGAACAATTAAAAAAAAATAACAGTAATACAAAGCATCAAGTTTTATTCTTACCACCGTCTTTATCCCCCATTGGTATATTTTGTTATATCCTTAATATAACACGTAAAAGAACGATAGAAAATTTAACCCGCCAAAAGTCGCGAAGCTCAACCGGATTTCATCAAAAATGCAAACGTATTTACTACAATGCCCTAAACGCATGCCGTCTTTTCATTGCACGACCAACGGTCGTGATTTTAATGCGATGCATGGCTTAATTTATTTTAAAATTGAATATATTATTTATATATATATATATATCTTGTACGATATGCATTTATATGTTAAAAATAAAGAAATTCAAGTCTCTTTTTATGAAGCTTCTATTGCTAAAAACAAATAGTTGCGAAAAATTCTACCCGACTCGTTATATAGCAGGTATGTTGAACGAATAATACTACATGCATGATATCAGATATATGTACCTAGTCCATAACTGGGTTCACCAGAGTCCATAACTGCGAAAAGACCAGTTTTCGTTCTTTGCGCATCTCCAGTACGCATCTTCGCCTTGATTGGCGATACTCCCAAACGAAGTGGAAAGCGATTAGCAGAGAGCTGGCTGCGTTCCCCCACCATCTTCCAACCTGCGCGTCGCAGTTATGGACTCTGGTGAACTGCGGTATAGGTAAAATTATAATGACTTTCGATTCATTGTATTGTATACGAAATTTACAAAGTCCATGTAATACCTTGATTGCAAAAGTATTTGTCAACAACATTTATTTACTATTTCTGATATAAATATGAATTTTGGAAATGCATTATTAGCAAATTGATATATCACGCAAGTACATACACTGATTACCTAAGTTTCAACATTACTTTTTACCTTTTCTGAATCATATATTTTATGTATTGTATAAAGGAATTATAGATTTTAATTTTAATATTTGATTCAAACAGAATGGACAGCATGGAAGATATTAATGCTAAGAGAGATGCTAGAAGAAAACGAATTTTAGAAAATTCAGAGAAACGTTTATTAAAAATTACTGGTAGAAACAGTGCCATCGTATCAGAAGGTAAATATGATTTTCTTACTTCAGTTATTAAACATAAAATAGTTTCCAAACAGAATGTATTACTTTTCTTTATCGATGTGCATTATTTTACCAAAATCAATTGTTTTATTTACAGCACCTTCTGTACATACAGATATACCAAATCAAACATATATCCCTACAGACATAGAAAATAGAACTTCACATTTTGGTTTAAATGGTAAAATATCAGGTAATGCATTTATCAATTTGAAAATATTTTCTTACATATGATAGAGAATAATAACAATAATATATGAATTAAAGTTGAAGGCACTGTTAACACTTCTACTCCACTAAAACAAACATCACACATATTAACAAATCGTATAAATTATGTGTTGTTGGCTGTAATTGTTAATATACTATTGATACTACAATTGGATCATCTATTTGGACAGGTAATTATATATATTTACAATAAAATTATTGTAATGTTAATGGATGCCTTAAGTAATACTTAATTAAATGTTTCAGACAATCACAATACCTTATTTTCCAATAATGTTAGGACGTCTGTATAACTATAAAAATATGCAGGAGATGCAAGACAATAGTTTGTTATATCCTGCATTAATTTTATGCAACATTAAACCTGAGTTAACCTACCAACTTAAAAGATTCATAACAATAGTTCATATGATATTAGAAGATTTAGCTTTGTATATTTTCAGTTTTACCCTCATGCATTACGGACTTTTATATTGTTTGCATAATACAAACATTTTAGTTGGTTTAAACACATGAATAATGTCATTGTATATGAAATATAAATACACAAGTCATTCATTCATTTCTTCCTTTTACTTGTATTTAAATTGTAAAAAGCACAATATAAAATGTCAATATAATAGAGATAAGAAATGCCATAATAATATGTATGTTTTCTTTTCGTTTTGTTACACAATTTAATTCTGTGCTGAAAAATTTGTCGAGATTTCTTCAGCGATTCGGATTTATACAAGGCATTGGAGGGTCTTAAAATGAATAAATCATTAACACGTTTGATTCAAGGGTAACAGGTGCATCTTGGTCGATATAAGACGAAATCCTAAATTAAACTATTAAATACCGCCGCCTTTTTGGTACGGGTATTTTTGTTATTACAGAAATCAGAATCCTTTCATGTTTGTTCATAAAATATTTAATACTACTTAGTTTTGTGTATAAGTCAGTTATAGTAGTTATAGGCAAAAAAGTTATATTATAAAAATCTAATTTTTATCTTTGTTATTCTTTCTTCAGCTGTTTAAACCTCAAAGTTTGACGTCTTACTATATCAGAATGGCCTAAACTTATCATTTTTTTTTCCCATTCCTCTACATTCTTTCTATATTGCATCATTGATTCTGTAGCTTCAGCGACATACGGTTGCTTCGCTGTATCCGACATTTCATTCCAATTTGTTGAAATCACCTGCAGCCAATTCTAATACAACAAAGACAACAAATTTCTAGTGTAACATTAACAATAAATGGCAAAATTATTGAAAATAAAAAAAGTAATTATAATCCCCAGAGAAAAATAAATGTTAATAGTAGTTGATTATACCTTATAAGCTAGGTTTGGATCTTTTTCATTTTTCTTTGATAGCATATATGCTAAAAATGCTGTTAATGGTTTCTTTGGTTTTCCAAATGTTTCTTTTTTCTATAATTTGTATAAATTAGATAAAATATTATAAAACAGAAACATCAATAAATTAACATATTTACCTGTTTATCACTTGTTTCTTTACTTTTCTCTTTATTTTTTTGTATTAATTGTTTTTGTTCATCAGTCAAAGAATCATTGTATGCTTTTAATTCTTGTACGTACATTTCATAATTCTGGTTATACTGTTTTCGAAAATCTTCCTTTTCCAAAGGATCTAATTCTGCCCATTTCTGAGATGCTTTCTTTACTATTTCTGGTGCTCTTAGATCAGGATTCTCTTGCATAAACTTTGATCTAACATGATTTAAGTACAAAAAAAATGCAGATTGTGGCTTCTTTGGTTTTGGTGGGAAAGCACTATCATGTAAATATTTCAATGCATTCCTCGGCGCACTCTGGTAAACGTTTAATAAGTTATTTCTAAAACAATGAAAAGTTCATTTTGATTAATAAAGAAAGAATACATCGAAATCAAAGGAACTTATTTTCTTCCTAGAAAATTCATTTACACGTGTTCGAAGTACCGAACCCTTGCCGATGGGTTAAAATCAAACGTCTTGCGATACCTTTACAAAAACTTCTTTTAAAATGTAAAAGAGATTTCAAAACAAATATTTACCTTGCACATAAAACATTACCGAAATCAGTAAAAAGCATAAATCTTCCATACCCAGCCATTTTATACATAACAAAATACTATTTCGGCAAAGCTGTTACACCATGATCATATCTGTAGATGAGTCAAGATGAGTATTCTATGGGTGTTATGTATGTACCATAAAATGGCACTTATGATATATCAATTTAAAGCTTAAAAATGAAGATAATTATGGGTAGGCGCTTCATTAATATTCTTCATAAAAAAAAAATGGCTGAATGCCAATTACAGTAAACAATGACTATAATTGGCAATTTTCAATCTCTGACTTCAGACTCTATATAATTAATTATTTTGACAACCGACTTTCGAATCGAGATAATTATTCATTTTACTGGTTGAGATAATTTTTGTTCCTTCTCCTGTGAATTAGACATTAATTCATGTTTACATCTAAAGGATGAAATCCAGTCTAGTATATAATACTTTAATGATCTAAGGCGGGAATTGCTGGGAATACCCGTAAAATAGCAACAAACGTAGAAGACGTCCCTTTATCAAAGATTACAAAAGATTATTTTACCGTTTGGAATTTGAAATAGTTTAAATGGAAGATATTAAGGTATACCTATTTAGAATATTGTAGAAAAATTTAGTTATTTCAACTACATTTTATAAGAACATAGCAATATTTATATGAAAAAATATTTGAATTCATGTTACTTGTATTTGTAGAAATGGGAAGAGATATTAGAGGAAATATTGCAATGCTGCGTGTGTTTGGAAATACCTAACACAACAATTTCAATGTGTACAATTGGACATCATATTTGTGTCTTTTGTAGGAGAAAACTACAAGAATGTCCGCTTTGCAAAGGAGCGTTTATACCAGCTAGAAATTTGCTTGCAGAAGATTTAATTTCCCATATGAAAGATATCAAGGTCATATGATTCAAGTATCTTTGTAATAAAATTAGTTAACATTGAAGGTTTTCTTTAGGAAATTATATAAAAAACAAAAGATTTGTGTTTCTCATGTTTAATAGATTTCTATCGGTAAAGAAATTATAGAAAAATTACAAGAGCAATCAAAATGTGAGCAACAATTTGCAGATGCGTATACTCAGACATATCAATCTACAGTTGATAAAAAGTGTTTCAGTGTTCAAACAGACACCATAAGAGATAATGAACAGAAAAATCAAACTACTAATAAAGTAGTAGTATTTTATCCATGCCTAATAGGTTCATGTTTACTGAAACTGTCTTATAGAAAGTTGTTGCAGCACTTGAACGATCGTCATAAAGATATGTTTTATGAGGTATTAATATGTACCCTCTTTATGGTAGCATTTTAATTTGTCTAATACGTTAATGTAATAGAGGCCCCCAAAAAGGTGTACTACAGTGTATATACTAATGAAATGTTTCAGCTTCAGGTGAATCAGAAAAGTCAAGTATTTAGTGAAAATTTCATGATAGATATTGATAAATTACCAAAAGATTATGATTATGCATTTCACATACATAATATGGGTTTATTTTTTATTAAAATTACAATTCATGAAAATGGACGACTGATAGCTAATCTACAAATTGTAGACAGGATTAATGCAACCATATTCTATCAGTATCGACTTATAGTGACAAATGGGGCATTCTTTTTACGTCGTAACGGAATGGTAATACTATCAGTATCAAAAACTGATTAAAATTTTCTATCAGAACGAATCCATTGAAATCAGATAATGTTAATTTTGTTTATCTTTGCATTTGCAACAGGTAACATCGTGCCTAGTAGAGAAGGAAGTTGCCGATCACAATGGTGTTATGATGCACGAAAGGGAAATGTCCACATTGATAAAAAACAAATCATTTGAGTGTACTTTAATAATAAAAAAATGTGTATCCGCCAAGAATAATAGATAGGAGATCGATTAATAATGGATTGTTATACAATTTTTATTGAACTCGCAACATATGTGTATCCAAAGAATTTAATGTAATTTTTTAATTTCATTCGTGAAAGCAATGATTCATTTTTGTTTCAGTTTCAATTAAGTATTTTCTTCGTATATAATATTTTATTTTCTTCAATTGTAAAATGATTTTCTTCGTGCATTATGTATGCGTGTCGTTTCTTTTATTAAAGCGTCATTTATAAACAAAACTTGTACATAATTGTCATAGAATGCCACTGAAAGATGCAAAATCATTCTCACAAAATATATGTATGCTTTTAAATTTTGCGCACATTAGGTGCGCTATTAAGATTACCGGTACGACTCGTGTGTGCGGAATCTTTATTACATCCTTTAAAGATTCACATTACATTCGTAACAAATCGTTCTCTGTCGTTGAACTTTGTTCTTTTGCATTTTGCCATATTTAAACTGATTCGATTATTTTGAAAAATTTGTTCGCACACTATCCATAATACCAGAGAATACCATTGTTTTCTACCGTGCCCGCAATAATGTGTGTAAATAACAAACACCTACGTGTTTATGTAGCGTAATTCATAACGCCTTGGACGTATGTATCGTTCACCTTACTTAACGAACATCTAATCAATCTACGAAACCTTTCGTTAGTCGTTGGTTCGTAACAAATTTAACGTTCTCGTCAAACGATCGATGGAATTTATTGTTGTACGTTTTGCTAGATGCCCTTGGTAAACTAAATCCATGAACTGGATATTATATCTCTTTCCAATATATTTCGACATAATACTACATTGCTTTCCTTCAGGTACCTCCTTCGCGTAATGATTTTTGCTGTTCGAGAAGCCGTTCTAACGGAGATGGGCCAGGTCCAGACCATAAGGATTGTTGACTGAGTCGAGCTTTTGTCTGATCTTGATTCGATGCATTAGAACTTTGCGAACTACATCCCCATGTATTGTTACTGCTAAATAATGAATAGGTATTTCCTGTACCGACCAATTGATTTGATTTCACGTCTACCTGTGGGCAAATACATAAAAGTGTATCTATTATTAACAGTAATGCTTGAATTAAGTTTACGCTATGCTTGAATTAAGTGTAACACGTACTTCTAAAGATCTGGAACTTTCTAAATTGCTCGCGTTGCCAAAATGTTTTGTATGCTGTGAATCTGACTGATAATTGTTGCAAGTTCTTAATGAAACTGGAACAATGTTCCCCGTATTAGAGGTACAGTCCCACTTGTGATAATTTTCTATAATGGATGTATCTTCGCCGGGCAATTGCATACTTCTGCCAGCTGTGCCCCAAGGTGCCGAAAGCTGCGGTTGTTGCGTATCTTTCCACAAATTAAAGTTCGTAGTCTCGTAATTTTGAAATAACGGATTAAAATTACTCGCTGTCTGAGTTTGATTTTTAGACATGTTCACGTGATTGGGTAATGAAAATTCTACAATATCAGAATTTTTATTGTACATCGACGACGGTAGCTGCTTCTGTGATATTTGACCGAAAGCATTTTGATTAAAATCACTCTGATTGAAATTAAATTGCAAATTCGGTATGGTGGCTGCATTTAACGAATTAATCGTAACATTTGGTACATTCGGTACATTCGGTACATTCTGCACATTCTGCACATTCGGCGCCATAGAAGCGGCCTGATAAAGCTTCTTCTGATATGTATTTATTGTCGATAAAGTACAAACGTTCGTAACGGATGAACTGGTTAACGGAATTTGATTATGTAACGACACTGTGCCTGGTCTGATATTCGTTTTCGTAACAACATTCTGTTGTTGTATGCCCAAATTGTGATTCTGTTGAATGTTCAAGCTTATACCTTGTTGTTGCGCATTTATGCCCTGTTGTATAGAGATATTTCCAGCTTGTTGAGGATTAATATTCTGCGAAGCATTCGGTGGTATAACACTTTGTTGAGTTGAAGATGAAATTCCCATAGTTTGATGCAATAAAGAATTCTGAGGAATATTTGGGGTCTGCATCCTTTGATGCATAGATCTGTTCTGGTTCGACGTATGCTGTAAACTTATATTTTGTGATATCGGTTGTTGCACCGTTGGATTAGTAAAGTGTCCTTGAATCGAATAATTAGACATACCAGCTACATGATTAGTCATATAATTTTTCGTAAATTGTGGATTTTGTACATTAAACGTTGGATTTTGGTAACAAATAGTTCCTACGCACGGTGAAGTAGCAGATATTGTCGTTAGAATTCCAGTGGTTTGTTGCTCTTTTGGAGCGAGATAATTCATTTGAGATGACTGAGAAACAGTATGCTGTAATTTGCTTGTCTTCGTTTGATTTGAGGGATTAACGAGTTGTTGATTTTGCACGGTGGTCGGAGCAAAAGGCATCAATGGTAATCGATTTTGCACAGTGATCAACGGATTTGGTGACAAATTAGGAACGTTGCTCTGTTTTGATATCTCTCCAGTGATCGATATATTTTTGTTCTCGGTAGACATACCTTTCGTTGGCGATGCCAAACTTACTTTAAGCCTTTTCTCGTTCTCCTCTTCTACGTTTAACGGTGATACATTTTTGAACGTAACTTGTTTCTGTTCGGTTTCAGCGCGTCGCATTATAGTCTGCATCGCTACGTTTTGTCTCGGTTTTCGAACCGTAGGTAACACGTTGTTCTCAAAAGTATTAGATTCCGTATGAACAACTAACGAATCTTTACTTCGTTCCAACGAACCTTGAGGCTTCAAAATGCCTATTCTCTTGTCGAAAGCGTGTTCCAACGTATCGACATCCGTCGAACCTTTACTGCTTGCAGTTTCCGAAAGAACCGGGCTAATTGATACGGCAGATTGTCTTTCCTTGTTTAAACTGAGCTCCTCCAGTTCTTTCATCAATTCGTTACTTAAACCATTTCCTTCGATCATAGAGGTGAATTTATTATTACCTTTCTCCTCTCCCAATGTGATGGCAATTAATGCGGCACCATTGATTTTATACTGTGCTAAACAATGTCCTAAGCGAAGAATCCGAACTGCGCGTAATTTATTGGAAGCCTCAAGATCGTCCTCTAAATCGGTATTAGTAAATTTTAAGCATTCAAAACTTTTTTCCAACGGTAAAAATCCCTGTAGATCACGATCCTCTGGCAGTGGTACTTTAACGTATTGATCGTGCGGGAAATCCGTTACACAATTTTGCAAGGCGTTTAACAATACGCACAAGCTGGGCCAGATCTGAAGTCTCGACGTGAAAGCTACCTCTTCCAAAACTGTGGGTTTCGTGTGTATCCAATCAAGGCACAGTTTTATAGAAGGCAAAGCGAAGTATTCGATGATAGAATTTTTGATCGTATAGACTGGTAATAACAAGGCAGACAAGCTGCCCGCTATAAGATCCAAAATACAATCCCGTGCAATTTTTTCGTCGGACGATAACTGTTCGTGTTTCAGTGTGTCGGTATTATCCACAACGTTCGTTGTGTGTTCTAAAGCGTACAAGTTGATTACAAACATTTGTACAAGCATCCAAGAGCTAAAACTTTCTGTTGCAACCAAGGCTGTTAACGTTTCGGTCAACAATTTCGAGTAAGTAGAAGCGATCTTTAAATCTCCAAGATTATGAATTACACCGTGAAGTTTTAAAAAGACGGCTATGTACTCTTGCGAAGTCAGTTTGGTTTTTCCATCGATATTTAACGATGTATCGTTTAAAGCGGAAGATAATGTTTTCGCCAAGTTCGTTGTAGCTACAGGAAAGGGATGTTTTACCGCGACAGACCGCGTGTAGTGGAACACGGTCCCTAATTTGTTACCACGCGACGCTTCAAGCAGAGCTAGTTGATTGTACGGTTGCCCACTGGATGGTGACAAAGAAACCGCGTGCCTGTAGAACAATTCCGCTTGTTTACTCTCGTTCCTGTAACGAGCGATATCTCCCAAATGAACAAGGCAATATTGGCACGCATAAAAACACGACGATTTGTGAGGCACTGATAATTTCTCAACAGCTTTCCATGGCGATGTACACCCGTATACATAACCTTTTCTAGAAAATACAGACCGTGTCAGATTTGTTGCTGCACAAAGGTATTCATTATAAACATCATTTAATATAGCACAGAATGAAAGGGAAGCCATATCTGGATAATCTAACCTACCTACTTACCTTCTGAATGGTAAATCTAAATCAAATGCTGTACAAATTTCTTGCAATAACGTCAAATAGAAACCACTTGCTGCCTCCAAACACCAACTAAGTAAAGCCTGGGATTCTCCACGTTTAGGATTCTTTCTGTCCTTTGCTTGGGATTGCAAAGTTGCTATGTAATTTTTAAATCCGAGGTTCCAAAGTTCTTGTTCAACCTTTCTATCCAATGCATATTCCAAATCCAATATAAGAACTTGCTGATATATCTTTTGTAATTGCTGCTGACATACCCACGCATCATTGTCATTTAAAAGGTCTCTGCAACGTTGTACTTTATCCTTCAATGGTTCCGCTTTCCTGTAACATATTAATCAAATGAATTTTTCTAACACACTATGAAAATATATTTTCAAGTTTTCTTTACTCTTGGCTTACTTTAGAGCTTGTACAGCTGCGTTTAGGCCCATATTTTGTGTATCTTGAATTGTTAGTATAATACGTTTTGCCTGTGTAAATCAAACAGATATAAATATTTTGTCCTTCATACATGAAACACTGAACATAATGCTATTTATTGTATAATTTTGTTACAATATTAGCTATGCAGAATATCACATTTTTTGATTAAGGATACTTTTTCTCAATTCATTTGGAAGGAATATGTTATAAATCTATTTCGTTTAACACACAAGAGGCGTCGAATATCAGGACATCGAAATGATTAAATTCATAATCGTATCGATGAATCTAAACGATTACAAGTTCTTCTTCTCATAACGAAAATCTCGCTTACATTGATACAAAGAAACTAACCAACTGACTACACACTAACAGAAACATTCAAAACCATGAAATTTTAACGTAACGAAACTTTCACAAATCTTTGAAGTAACTTGATTTATTGAATGCATAAGAGTCGATATCTGTTACAATCGAAAAATCTAGGTTAACTACAGCCTAACAATGCTAGATAATGAAAAAAATTCGTAAATAACAACACAGGTGATGAATTTTAGGATTAAGAGTTGTTCAGGTAGAAAATAAATTTTGAAACATTCCGAGAATAATAAAAAAAACTTACTTTCACATATTTATGTTAAAAAGAAACCTAAAATATACCGCATTACTGATATGTGCTTCACGGTAATGAAAAACTGCACCGCCCCCACGTTAAACATTTAAGTCACTTTTGGTTATAAGCATTCAAATTTTCCACAAGTATTTAAATCGGAATTGAGAAGAACTTATATTGTCACAGTGTTTAGTAATGGACCACCAATGTAAATGTTAAATTATAAGAAAATTTCAAACATTCATACACCATGTTTGATAGGGTTATAATCGTTTAGCGATTATGTGATTGAAAATTTCAGGTTAAAAGAAAGTCACGGAACATTTCATGTCACCATAGAAAATGTTGGCGTTCGTTTTTACCAAAATTTGTACGCGTTTCCAACGACATTATAATGCAACAAATAATTATCGATTATTTTCGATAGTATGTATTTATATTCATTATATTACCTACAATATTTTCCATGTCATTTAAATAAGTTGGCTTAATTCAATTTTATTAAATGCGTATAGAAATATTTAACATGTACTATTATGTAAACGATGATGATACAGTTTTACATGGTTATTATTTACAACGAAACAACATTTGCCGTGTCTTCTCTTTTCGATTTGTAATAATATTAATTTATTTCAGAGTCCGATTTTTCTTGACGAAAAGAAACAAACGAAAATGGAAGCGAAACAAAAGGAAATGATGGCGCGCGGCCTCCCAAAACAGAAACCTTTGAAAGGTGTTAAACAAATTGTTATTGTAGCATCGGGAAAAGGCGGAGTTGGTAAATCTACAGTTGCTGTAAATTTATCAACCGCCTTGAAAGTTCTTGAACCCAAAAAATCTGTCGGCTTACTTGATGCTGATGTGTTTGGACCATCAATACCCCTGATGATGAACTTAAAACAGTCCCCTGTAGTTAACGATGCAAATGTTATAGAACCACTTATAAATTATGGCGTGAAGTGGTGAGGAAATGATTTCATGCATTTTACTCAGACTTCAAGCAATTTTTCTCAAACCATAAAGTTTTCTTTCGCGTATAGCATGTCTATGGGTTTTCTAATCAATGATAAATCTCCAGTAATTTGGAGAGGATTAATGGTAATGAGTGCACTTGAGAAATTATTACGTCAAGTAGCATGGAATCCTTTGGATTATCTAATCATAGATACTCCACCTGGAACAGGAGACACACATCTTTCCATCATACAAAATCTACCAGTTACTGGTGCATTATTAGTAACTACACCTCAAAAAGCAGCTTTGGAGGTAACAACAAGAGGAGCAAACATGTTTAAACGTTTGAACATTCCTATTGTTGGAATTGTAGAAAATATGAGCAACGTTATATGCCCCAAGTGTAACAATAAAATAACTCTTTATGGTGATGGGACAGAAACTATTGCTAAAGAACTTGGTATTACAATTATAAATATATACATATGTATATACACATCAATATAGGGTTGCAACTTTTCATCTTCTGTTTTAGGTGTGCAAATTTTACAAACTATTCCCTTATCAGAGGATATTGTGAAAAGTTGTGACACTGGTAAACCAATTGTATTGTCTGCACCAGAAAGTACACAAGCTTCTGCATACAGAAGTTTGGCAGAACATATAATTAAATTTTTAGCCAATCAACCATTCAATCAAGAATAGCTATTAGGAAATTTCTATTATAACTTTTTATTTTTCAGAAAATTTATTTAAACCTTCTATTACTTGAAACAAGAGAGCCGTTCGAATTCTTTTCAAACCAGAAATTACTCATAATCATGATTACTCCCCACCTACTTTATTATCTTATCCCCTCTTTTAATACCGTCACATGCTAAACGTAAAGAATTCGAGATTGTTTTATGAATAATTCGTCGCAGAGATATTGCTGCATCGTATGTATCTATGACTTTTATTTACTGCCTTTCATTTCTTTCATGTTTCAATCTTTCATGTTGTGCTAGTAAACACGGATAGAATTTAACAATGTTCTATACATGTTTAGATATGACATCATACAGAACGTGTTCATATTATTTTTTAGAGCAATTGTAAACTGATTTTTTACGTTTTTAATATACCTGATTTAGCTACCTGATTTACAATAAATTTACGTTCTCCCTTATTTTATTTTACAGATTCGTGTACTGAAATGATCGGTAACAACCCCTCCAGCGTTCATTCTGATGCAAATGCCGATGTTTATGACATTCCAATGAAGGTACTGATTAGACCTATTCCTCCAATAGTGGACGAAAAGAAAGTTCAAAGTTTAGCAGATACGTTGAATAATCCTGAAACAGAATCATTAGTCCCACCAATCGATGTTTTGTGGATCAAAGGAAGCGAAGGTAACATCTCTTTTCAATATTTTTTAATATAGTATAAAACATATCTTTCATACCGAGTGGTTGTGTCTTTTTTTTTTATTTCAGGTGGTGATTACTATTATTCTTTTGGCGGATGTCATCGATATGCGGCCCATCAGAGGCTTGGGAAACCATATATAAAAGCTAAACTGATACGATCCACGATGGCAGATTTAAAATCTTATCTTGGCGGTTCTACGCCAGATTTAAAATAACAATATTTCTATATAGTTTCCATTTGTAGAATGTTTTACAATATAGAATAAGATATAGGATAATTTGTTTATTATGAGATTTACAATTTATGAAACTTTCTTTTAATATATTATAGATTTCAATTTTAAATCTGTATTACCAGTTTTCGCCTGTGCGTGAATGTACTTATTTATATATCAAACGTTTCAATTTTGATATATGTAATAAAAATGTGCAAAGTAATACTGCTTCATATTAGCAGCTTAATAACTATTTCTTATTATTGAAGATCTAAAATCTCTCAAGTATGTATGAACATATTTGTGACGATTTATTTCTGCAATTGTATCTAAATTGTACATATTATGAATATGTATATGCTTGTGTGCATTACCGATACGTTTGCATGTGCGAATGTGAACCTTACGTTTTGTATTTTGTGAGAAATAAAAACGTTTAAATGCTAAACATAATCTTTTTGATTAGTTCTATCTCTTTTACGTTTTCTAGTATTTGAATCTTCTTCATCTTTTCTAAATCAAATTTATAAATAATTTTCTATTTCAATATATACTCGGTCGTTTCAATATAATTTCTACTACTTCTGTCCATATATGCATCTCTTAATTTTCTTTCATAGAAAGTCTTATGATTAGTTTCTTTAATAAAATACGGTTTGTAAGTTTTAGTTGTATCAGCTGTTACTGCATCTGATATATCACTTGCTGTCTCAGTTCGATGGGTATGACTTCGAGACCTGTTGTTATTTTTCAAATTACTAGGTATGACTGATTGTTGTAAATGCAACAGTTGTGTATTGGTAACCTCGCAATCGATTTGCATCATAGTCATATCATTAGCAGGGGTTGAAAATGTTTCTGTAAAAAAACAAATTCGATCCATTTTATTGCAATTAAACATCAAAGAATAAAGCAAACCTTACCGTTCACAGGGAGAGCAGGAAGGACCAACGACATTCGTGGTCTACCTGTACTATTTTTGCTCGAAGCTGGCAAAAGTAAATGTTCTCCACTGAACCAAACTACATAAAAGGTATCATCTCTTCTTCCAAGAGCTTCAAACAAAGAAGCATGCTCTTTTATTATTGGAGAGAAAACTTCTACCGCATTTGATATAGGCGGATCGGCTTTTTTCTTAACTACTACAGACTTTTTTCTTTGAGAGAAATTGTGTTTACGCTTAACTTCTGTTTGCATTGTACGAGGAGACGATAAAAGCTCAGCCAGCAGTTTTGCGTCTAATTTTGATTTTTTCAACATACTCCAATTATCTTTATCAGACTTTCCACCGATCCAGCGTCTTAATTCATAATCTAAACGGATCGATTCACTTTGATTAATATGCATTGGACACATAGGCTGAGGCGTCGTTGTATTTTTACGGAAGTTATCTTCGTCTTTGTCTTCAATTTGATCTTTAGGTGTCCATAATAGGGTTCTTCCGTGTCTAACATAATTCGGGCTAATAGGAACATCAGCTGATAACGTGTCCAATCGATTATTTTGTGAAAGTAAATCCCTGTAACAAAAAGAACTTCCAATCTCTGTTTCATTAAACAAATATCTTTTATTGTTATTAAGAGTTTCTAATTAACCTTCATATTCAAGCAGTAATTTACCACAAACTTACCTGAAACCATTAACATTTAAAGATACCATAAAAATCATTCCTAAGAGAATAGCAACATTCTTTTTATTTATATTATGATTGATGTTTTTAAATTTACTGCTACTATTTATACCTTCTAAGGTTGAGAGCCTTTGCTTTAAGTTTGTATTTTCCTAATAAAAAGAATTATAATAATTTCTCTAACAACTAACAGACCGTAATACATGCATGACAAAATTCTTACCATTTTTAACTGTCTATTTTCTTGCTCCAAACTGGAAATTTGTTTTTCCAGAGAAGATACGTATTCTTTCTTTTTCTTTCGAGACAAACAAGCTGATTCTCTGTTCTTAATCATTCTCTGCTGCCTTTTCAATGCTTTCATTTCACATTCTTGTCGCCCAGCATAATTAATCTCTTGGGTCTCAGTTTTTATGACGATAGGGGTATAATTCGAATTTTCGGTTTTAATTACTATTGGTCTACACTGAGATGAATCATTTTTTACAATTATAGAGGTACATCTTGTTGTCTCATTATTTGGGGCTAAGGACGCGTCAACGGCATTGATTACTGATTCTTTTCCCGGTACATACAAATTCGGAATATTATCCACTACTTTTATCTTATTCTTTTGTTGTACTTGAACTGTTTTTGCTTCTGTTCTTATCTGCATCGATGGAAATTGCATTGAAGTTTGGATCTTGTCATTTCCATTGTTTGGTAATAAATGGGCTAGAAAAGGATAAGATGTACAGTTTTGTTTAGCTTTTTGAGTGAATGTGACGAAATTTTGAGCATTCAAAAGTATAGCACCCTGTGGCTGTTCTAGAAAATTTGAAAATATAAAAATATATTTTACAATTTAGATTAAACATTATCAAACAAACTGAAATAAATTCTTTTGCCTTACCATCGGTTGTAAATTGTATATTATTTTTTGGTTGAACTCGAACGCGTTTAGCAGAATTAAGTTTAGAGAGAATAAATTTTGTTTGCTTCATATCTTGAGATTTAAATGGTTTGAGTGTTATTTTTTTCTTGACCATTGTTTGATCCCATGTATGTTCTGGAGACTTACATGGAGAAACATCTTGCGGTGGTGAGATAGGCGGTGTTTCTAAATTTGGCTAAAATAAATTAATGGATAAGGTATAGAGATATTAAACTTATTTAGGCAGATTGTTGAATACATCACAATTATACCTTAAAATCATATAATGTAGCAACATGGTTTGTTTCCATTTGTCCATCTAATTTATTAGACTCTGAATGACTTGGTATAGGTGACAAAGGCAATTCTATATGAGGACTCATAGGCTCCAACTTAATTTCTATCTCTGCATCATTACTCAAATCTAAGTTAAAAATTATAAATATTGTAATATTTATAATTGTATACTGATATATATTAAACTTGTATAAAATTGATACCTGAATTTTGTTGCGGTATACTTATATTAAAATCTTTAAAACCAGTCAGAGATTCTCCTAAAGAAATATCATCAATAATCTGGGTATTAAGATTATCATCTGTCTTTGAACATATTTCATTTTCTAACAGAAGAGGTATGCCTAATTCAGAACTCAAGCTTTGGAATAAATCATCTGGCAGAAGCGAATAATTATTATCTGCAAAGAAATATGTTGTTTAATACACAAAACAAGAAGTAAATCCTATCATATATCCATACCTTCAAAATCTGGAAACATCTCAACTTCAGATGCTGCGATATTATTGTACTGTGAATCTTCATTTATCAACATATTTTGATGAACATGAAATTTTCTTTTATCTCACAAATAATGATATTAATAACCTACACAAGAGCTATTGACAAAATAAAGATGTTAATAACCTTTTCTCTTCAAAAAAAGTATAATGTTTTGGTAGCATTTAACTATATAAATAATTTGTACATAATTGATATTTAACAGAAACAGATTCAATTCATAAAAACATCAATTTCAACAACAATACAGTGTCACCAAGTGTCAGGTGGTCAGCATAGATAGAATAAATACGAGATCATTTCTGTTCTTTTGCAAGAATTAGCCGTATGGTGCAGCACCAGCGCAACGCGTCAAGTAAAACTGCTTGATGTTGTATTTGGCTTTACATTTGTATTTATTGATAATATAAATAGTATAAGGTTTATCTATCTATAAATAAAAAGAAAATGACCTGTTTTATGTATAAACATTAAAAATACATTTACACACGTGTATATTTGTAACTACTTCATTCTTTTCTGCTTTATTAAATGATTTCTTAGAGCAATTTGTTTCTCCTTAAAAGAACGTTTCACTTTTCCTTTTATTTTGTGCTTCAACATTTGAAAGGATTTCATTTTCTTTTTCTCACGATTCGTCTTACTGCAAAGTTGATTTTGTCGTCCGTCTTTGTAACCGAATTTTTCCCTACCATCTTGCCCTTTCTGTAAAGATAAAATAAAACATTTAACGTGATTTTGACTTTTTACATTTGTCAGTGAAATTAAAACAAACCTTCACTGATTCAATGCGAGCTTGTTTGTCATGTTTTCGTTTTTTATAAATATTTTCTATGTCAGTTAATTTAACAAATTCTCCTCGTTCGTTATCATTAGGATAAGGCCTCTTCAGACTTCGTTTGGTATACGTAACTTGTTGTTTCGCTAGCGCGTTATCTATTTTTACAAAATCTTCATCGGTTAATAATCGTTGAACCGATATTACAGATGCCTTTTCCTTTTTCTCTGCCATCATTTCTTCTTTCTTTTTTGATATGGTATTTTCTTGTTTTTTTAATTTTAACTTTTTTCTTTCAAGCTTTGTTAGCTTACTACGTTGCTGCTTTTTATTTCTATTTTTTACATCTTGAGTTTCTTCTATATCGGTATTATTCACATCTGATTTAATAATCTCGTTTTTAATGTCATCTTCTTGTCTTAACGTCTTTACCTGTTCATTTTTATCTATTTCTGTAATATTTTTATTATTGTTTTGGACATTCATTTTTGTAAGTGATTTTATCTCTTCCTCTTCGTCTTCCTCATCGTCATCGTCTGTTTCCTCCTCCTCCTTCTCCTCGTCGTCATCATGATCATCATACTCTTGCTCATGACCATCATCATCATCATCATTATCTTCATCACTAGTATGGTTTACATCAACCCATTCACCGTCGCTATCCTGAAATAAAAATTTCACGAATGCAATTTTTTCTATGAAAACAGTTATAAATAAGAATTCATTTTTAATAAGTAAGAATACATTTTCTTTAGTTCATGTTTTTACTTACGTCACTGTCAGTGTTAATCTTGGAAATATCTTCTGAATTGTTATCAAGTAGAACATCCGCTCCTGGTATGAATTCAAAAGCAGATATTTGACCATATCTTTGAGTTTCTAAAGTAACAGTTGCCTCCGTAGGTCGTCCTCTGTCCTTTTTGTGCAACATTTCTGGTATAGTATTTCTGAATAAAGCGATTAAAGACCGTGCAGCCATCATTACACTACGTTCTTTATAATGTTTATATCGTACTAAATCTTGCAATAAATCTGCATTCATTACTAAAGGACATCGTGTGCATATTTCTCGGATAGCGTTTAGGCTGCAATAAAAATTTCTTTTATTAATTATACTGATATTAAGCTGAAGAATGTTACAAGTTTACAATGTACCCAATAGCCATAACGTCGGCAGAATTTCGTTCTGTAACAAAGTTATTTGCCAACGTTTTCAAAATAGGTTCCAATACATCAGGTGGTACGAGTTCGTGAGAAGATTGAGCGATGAATTGTAAGAGTTTTGTCACTTCTAAAATTATTAAAGAAAAAGAAAACATGATTACATTTTCCTGAACTATTATACTGATCACTTTTTAGCAACACAAAAATTGCAACCTCTTTGATGTGGCTGCATAAATCTTTGAAGATACGGATAAAAATTCAATAGAAACAAACTGTGCAAACCAATGAGCCTAGAAATTACATCCAATGTAATTAGTTTAATTTCAAATCTATCATTATTTTTTTCTAATTGTTTGAACAGTTTCTCCGCAAAACCTTGAGGATCATGAATTAAATGTAACGCCGAGAAATTAAAACTCGGGGCTTTCGTCGCTTTCTTCTTAGATTTCTAGAACATATAAACTGTATTCATTAAAAATGAAATATAATGTCAATAGCGGTTTGTCAATCATTATGCTAACTTACCGCTAATACCTGTTTTGCTTTAGCTAAATGTTTCTCACGCTTTTTTGTTTTTTTATTTACCCTATTAGCCATTATAATTTCCTTAATATTTGGCTCACTGTCACTGTCGCTATCATCAGATTGTCGATCTTCCACACCGGTTCCCACAAAAAACTTTAAACAACTGACCATAACTTTAGTTGCTTTGGCAAAACATCCTGTTGCCAAGACATTCACAGTTTTTGCATCATTCCAAATATTTTTATTGTACAATTCTATCATAATATCCGCAGACATTTTTGCAGCTCTGACATTGGAGTCTTTCAACATTGAAAACATAAAATTCTGTAAAACTGTATTAACTTTTGCATTCTTCTGTTTAGCATTGACATTTTTAATATCAGTAATGATGTGGGTCTGCAAGAATTGCCTCAGATTTTTATCCTGACATCTCAGCAATTGAAAGAATAAACTGAGAAGTACAGTGGGTTCCAAAAGAGACTTGTTACGTAGTTGAATTAGAGCTTTACAAAACGTCTATAAAAAAAAAGGTATCAATTGAGATTAAAAAAAAAAAAAAAAATCGAGTAAGTAAAATGCAATGTTATTCCGTGTAATTTTACACTTACTAATCGCATGTCATTATCAAGTACTGTATTATACGTCTGCAGAACATCAATGATTTCTTGAGGGAATGATTGTAATGTATCTGGGTAACAATGCGCCACCTGTATAAAAATAATATTTTAAGTTGAAAACTTTTATTTTTTAATAAAAAAGATAATAAATATGTACAAAAAAATGTTTACACTTATTGATAATTGATACAATAATGAAATGATTTGTGATAAGTATATTCTATAACATAAAATTATACAAATAATTCTGAATATTGAATCCGACAGTTTTAGCTATAACAAGAATGAAATCATACGATACACAGCATTTTAATTTAGGTTCATCCAAATTATAATTTCCTACAGCAGTTAGTAAGCCAAGCTGACACATTGATGGAATTTGCGCAAGTAAATTAGCATTAATATCAACTTTTTCATCGAGAATAGCACAAAAAATAGCAAGCATTCTAGATACTAGAAAATGATGAGGCCCGCTGCGAGTTTTTAGTATCGTCTTCTTTTTAGTAGCTCCTTTCTTTTTTCTTTTGAACTTTCGTTTCATGAAAAGATATTTATCTTCTTTTGCAGGATTGTATGAAGCAAGATATGATGCAATTAACATGTATTTTGCATAATATGGTAACTCAAAACTTAATGCTAGTCTCATTGTTGATTCAATCTCTGTGGACAACTGATTATGTTTTGCGAAATCTTCAACTGAAACTCGAAGATAAATGACTTCCAAATTTGCTTTAAACACAGCAGATATGTTTCTCCATAACATGGCAGTATCATTCTTTTTAGATTTATTAATTTCAATAGGTTCTATGTATTTAGAAAAGTTTATCCTAGCCATATAACGGAGTTCGTTAAGATCTCTACAAAATCGAAAAAACACAGACAGAAACAAATTTAAATAGTCTTTATAAAATGAATCTTCATAATCATGTGGTTTATTTAAAAGTAAGATCTCGCTAAATTCATTTCGCGTATATTGTGAGAAATGAATTTTAATTGGTTCATGCATACCAATTTTTACTCTGAACTTCTCCCATACTATATCGCTTATCAAAATTACACAAACATTAACACCTGAGATTTCCTTTAATTTTGAAAATGCAGGTAGAAAACCAATATCAATGTTTCTTAACTTATCACATTTATCAAGTACTATGATAGTTGGTTGAGTACTATTTATAGAAATTTCTTTAAGGTACATTACAAAATCTGCAATATTGTCGCATTTATATTGTAATTTATCATTTGTTACTGAACCAATTAAATTTGATGATAGATCATTCAGGATATAGTTAAACATATGTTTACTATTAATATGTTCAATGCAATTAATAATAGTTGCATTATACTTTAAGTAAGAAAGCATAGATTTAACTACTAAAGATTTTGCAGTAGCTGTATGACCATAAATGAATATGCTATGAGGCACTGGTTCATCAGAATAACCAATCAAAGAATAAAGCTGCTCTATTACTTTTTCTCTACAAACAATTTTTCCTTTTAAATATTGCAAACAGTCTTCCATGATTAGTCTATAAATTTCTGAACAACAATTTATAATATAAAGTATGAAAGAGCAACTATTTGTAGAATTTTGTTTAGATATCTTATTAATTATACCTGCAAAAAAAAGAACTTTTCTAACATTTAAGAACTTTATAACATAGAAATTAAACTAATACATAATGTCTTATGCTTAAAACTATTAAATTATATTAATTTTTATAGAGCATACCTGTGCTAGAAAGATAACTATTTCATCAAGACTTTTATTGAATTTGTTGGGTGTTAGACGAAATACTTCCAAAATGGACTTATAATGTTGGTGCTGTTGTAGAAACTGCAAAGATATAGAAATGTAGTAAACGTATAAGGTGAATATATCATAAAAGAGAACTTACTTCTTCCTTGTAAGATTCTGGATCGCGTTTAATAAGATTTTGTAATTGTGGAAGATTATCTGGTAACTGGTTATTGTGTCTCACCATTTTCTGACTTAAATTAATACATTAAGAATCTCAAATTATGAATCTTCAAATAACCTGCAAAGATTTGAATAACGTTTTTGTAAACTTATGCATTAAGTTTTATTAATGATGATAAATGGCATAAAGATAAACGTGCAGAACAACTGTATTATACATCTATTTTATTTAACAATCCCTTTAGAGAACTTTGCATTGTATATATACATTTATAATACACGTGCATAGCACAACACAATTAACTTTATTTATTAACCAATACAGATTATATAAGCAGAAATTAATAAAAAAAAATGTAACAATTGTAGTACATACCAAAATACCTACCATTAAAATATCATTTTATCTCACTTTTCTACTTATTTCTGCTTGTTACTAAATATTCTGTCTTCTCGCGCCAGATTTTCAGGATCAGAAACGAGTGTATTTATGTAATATGTATACAGAGGGAGACATCATCTTCCCCTACCCTTATCATTCCTATGGAAGCCCATGGAAGCCTTGGCCTTGGTATGCATGATTTATTTACATAAAACAAAGAAGTAATATTTTACAAATTCGGAATTATTCGAAATGGGATCCGATGATGACGATGAAGAGATTCTTGTATATGTAGAATTTGAAGGACTTGTTGACAGTAATGTATTTAATGAAAAACAATTACAATTAGATATGATTGGTATAGACACAGAATATCCAATAATGCAAATAAATGGCAGAGTAAGTTAATAAATAAAACAATATCATTCTTACACAGTATTTACCTCATTGTAAATTTTAGTTTTATGAAGGTGCCTATGAAGATGTTTGTGGTACTCACATGTTCTTTACAAAAGATGATAATCCTGCTGTGGATGATCCTGTTTTTGATGCTGCTCCAAATTTAAAATATTTTGGTAAAACTAGAAAATGTTTAAAGATGAGAAGAATCTTCATAAAGCCTAGAACAGAAGTTCTTGGTGATTCTGAACATCAGCAGTGTATCCCAAATTTAAATACACTTAAACAAGCAGGAATACCATTTCAGTATCAGAAAGAAGGTATTGATGGATTTGATAAAATTATACATTCAACATTTTTAATAACTCATACTTTTCATGTATACTTTGATAAATTATAAAATGTTTATTTTGTTTTATAGCTCTTTCTTTTTGGGAAACAGTGCGGAACAATAGACTAAATGCATTACATTCCTATTTAGAGAAACAGAGAATTAGACAACAACAAAAATCTGAAGGGATAGAATTAGAATCTGAATCTGATGAAGACAATCCATTTGCTATGTATAATCATAAAGAAGAGGCTAGTACTTTGAATAAATCTGAAGATAACTGTGTTAATTTGGACAAAGAATCAAATTACTGTGATAATCAGTCTCATTCTGAGGATATTTGTCAGAACAATTTTAATCCTGAAACTTTAGCAGAACCAGAATCTTCAATTTTAAAAAATGACAATGGTCCCTTGCTTAGACGTATGAAAACACATAAAACTAAGGTAGTTTGTAAAAGAAAAATAAACATAGCTGGTAATAAACAAAGAAAAAAATTTCAAACAAAACGTTCCTTATTGGAAGATGAAGTTTCATCATCTAATGCAAAAGTAAGGGCCTTATCAGATAAAAAAGAGGCTGACGTCGAGGCTAAGTCCGATATTACTAAAATTTTAAATTCATTGGAAATTGCTGAACATAAAAACTAAGAAATAGATATCTAAAGCAGTTGCAAAATATTTACATACAAAAATGGATTGATATGAATATACAATAAACTTTGCTATTGTAGAAAATGCGTTTTCATTAATTTCGTAATCATTATAGTATTATATTTTAACGTGACTTATATACTTTATTTTAAAACAAAAGTATAAAATATTACATTTTCTTGTACTATGATCATTGTTGAGCATAATTAATGATAAAATGAATAACATTTATGACTCTTAAGTCGTATACATTTCTCTTAATGAAATTTTCTTAATTACATTAAAAATTGATATAAAACAATTTTATCAGATCTTAAAGATCTTAAAGACTTACTACCCTTATATGTATTTTGTTTAAATTAGTTTTGCAATACTGAAACAGAACTATTTGTCAAAATTTTAGAATGACTCTAATTTTTCATCAATAGTTGATGTACATAAATAGATTTTAAATCGCATCAAGATAATTTTATTTAAGAAATCTGATGCGAACTTGTTCCATTGCAGACATACGCATTTCAACAATGTTTAGTTTGCTATCTATGTATTCCTAAACTGTTTATTTGCTTCACCAATCTAAATCACCAGGAAGTTCATCAGGATACTCTCCAGTCAAACAAGCAGTACAGTGTCCAATGTAACTGCTTTCACGATTGTCCATACGAAATCTTACAGCTTTTACCAGTCCATCTACAGAAAGGTATGTTAAACTATCAGCTCCGACGTGTTTTGCTAGTTTCACACTATCTAATTTATTAGCAATTAATTCTTCTCTCGTTGGTATATTGATTCCCATATAACAAGGATATTTTAATGGAGGTGAAGCTATTCTGATGTGAACCTACAAACATATAATTTAAATATGAATTGTTCTTTTATTGTATAATAGACATACATAAACATATGATACAGGTAACTCACTTCCCTTGCTCCTGCATCACGAAGTAATTTAATTATAGGTCCAATGGTATTCCCTCTAACAATTGAATCATCAATTAGAATTAATTTTCTCCCTTTCACATTTTCTGACAAAGCTCCAAACTTTTTTGCTACGCCAAGTTGTCTGAGTCGCGTACTAGGTTGAATAAATGTTCTACCAACGTATCTGTTTTTACATAATACTTCCGCAAAAGGTATTTGGGACTGTAATAGTTAAAAAATTATATATAGTTATACAACATTCGATAATAAAATATTTAATAAATGTTTTTACCTGTCTAGCATAGCCATGTGCTGCCGCAGTTCCAGATTCAGGTACTGAACTAACTATATCTGCTTCTACCGGCGATTCCAGAGCAAGTTCACGTCCACATTGCATGCGAACAGAATAAACCATTTGCCCTATAGAATGAAATGAATTGTCATAATTACTCCTTTATATACGTTAATTTACTTTGTAATGAAGTAGAATTAATTATTACAATCTACCTTCAAAAATACTATCGCTACGTGCAAAGTAAACATATTCAAAGATACAAAAGGCCTGAGGCTTTTTGTCCGGTCTTTCGACAATATCAATAGTTTTAATACCCTCCCGTGTCAATTCTACAATTTCTCCAGGAAATACTTCACGCACGTATCGTGCTCCAATACTTAGAAATCCACACGATTCAGATGAAATAACCCAACCTTCAGCTTCATCATCATCATCATCTGATTCACTTCCTGCTACAATAAACATATTTTATTCAATCATTTAGAATTGTTATCTATAAATTAAATTAAATTTCATTACCAACCTAAGTTACCAATTGGTACAATTTTTCCAAGACATAAAGGACGATTTCCGTAAGGGTCTCGTACACCATATATCGTGTCTCTTTGCATAATTACTAATGAATATGATAATGGTGCTAATTGCATAAGATGTTTTATACGCGCTGGCCAATCTGGCCCATTTACTTCACCTTCAGGGGGATTCAAACAAAGAGCTTGTGTTATTAATTCAGAGTCTGAATGAGTTGATAAACCAACTCCACGTCCTAACACCTGTCATGATAAATAAAAAATAATTAACAACAAATATGAGTATAAAAGTATTCATCTTTACTATGTAACATTACCATTTTTCTTAGTGATTCTGTATTTACAAGCTCTCCATTGTGAGCAACTGCTAATGCTCCATGTGCAGTGTGAACCACAAATGGTTGACAATTAACTTCTTCGCTTGCTGCACTTGTACTGTATCTAGTGTGGCCAATTCCAAGATTTCCACTCAGTTTCTTCATGTTTTCATCATTAAAAATGTTATTAATCATTCCCATGCCCTTGTGGACATGAAAAGATTTTGAACATACACCCTCGCTTGTAACAATACCTGCACTTTCTTGACCCCTGTGTTGCAATGCCACTAAACCTGAGTCAAATATATAATAAGTAATAATTAAATCAAATTAAACAGTAGTAAACTTACATTTATACTTACCTAAACAAACCACTTGAGCTACATCAATTTGAGATGGCCAATCACCTGCAGCAATACATCCAAAAACTCCACATTCGTGTGTGAGTCCAGTAATTGATTCCCTGTTGATCTTTTCTACATTATGTACTCCTTTATCTCTTTTACCTTTAATGGCCACTGATTGAGTACATGAATCTGCTTGCATATTACAAGACATTTCAATTATACTCTGAAAAATATCAAGTCAATATTAAATAATAACAATATTTGTTTCTGAAATTAAATTCTTAAAAGTGTCATGATACTATATTATCATAAAAAAAACATTGTTTTTCTTATATTGCAAAATATATAACAGACCCCCTTGAGATTCCTTCCGAATTATCATTAATGCCCCTATAAACTATTGACCCCTAATGGACAGATAGAACTGAGCTTTCAATATTACTGCTATATTTTTTTCAATATACTTGCTTAATCAGTATTTCGCAACAGATTTCATCATTGTACCACGCTGATATTACCATATATAGAAAATATTTATACTTACAAGTTAATTTTATTATTCAGTGTGATACTGTATGATAATGCAGAGTAAACAGAAAACAACAAAAACAAGTTTTTAGCTATTTTTTTATTTTTACAACTTTTTTCAAACTTGAAATACATCTGAACTACTTTTACTATTAAAATCACAATTTTCCTACAGAAGAATTGAGAATATCATAATGATTTTATCGATTTACTCCATATCCAATCGATTAAAGAACGTAAAATTTTAATTGTATCGCGGTTGCGATTTTTATATCCATGACTGTACCCACTTGTTGAATATTATATTTGACGATTTTATAAATATTTTAAGATATAAATCGCGTATACATTTTTCGAAGCTACTGCCCCTTGGAAGCAAATTTTATTCGTTTCATCTTTATTCGTTTGATTCTATAATTGTTATAAAATAGCTGCATTTAATCATAACAACTGTAGCAGTTCATACCGGTTAATGCAAATAAATAATTTTAAAATACAAGTTTTGAACTATGTATATATGTATGTACATACCACGTGCGTCAAAAGTTTGAACGTTCGTGATGTTCTATCTGCTCGAAAGGGATCCGCATGAAATATAACTCCCGACTGGCTTCAGAAACACGAATGGCTATGTAGACCAATGAAAACTTATTAATAACTGGAGGGGCTAACTCATTTAGTTATTATCTTTTAAATTCCTTCATTGCTTTTTTTTATACTCGTCGAAATAGTAAATATAGTTATAACCGAAGTTTTACAAAAAAGCCAACTATGATCCATTCGATTACGCATTCGCGTATAGATCAAAAATACACGATAACTATCTTTAATTCTATCAATGTTAATATTTTTATCACCACTGTATGTATGTACGTGTTATATTGTTTATGAACCTGAAATAAATAATAAGTTTAATAATCAACTGGCTTATAAAAAAACATTTTTTTACGTTTGAACAAAGTATTTTTTTACCATTATAAATACATACATACCTGTATCTTGAAAATTAGTCGGTCGAATTTTATCAAAGTTTTCCAAATATTTCCCTTAAGTTCTTTGAATCAATGTATTTTATTATTATTATGTTCTTTTTTTGCAGTTTTCTATGTGCAACACACGTGGTTGACAGTTTCATTACTTAATCGAAACAAAGATAATTTATAAACTTACGCCAATCACATAGAGCAATACGTTTAAAGTGGGGATCTCTAAAAAGCCGACCCGCACAAGTGAGAAGCTGATATTCAAGAAGTTAACAGAAGAGACGAAACATGAGTAGTAAGTACCTAATACTTGATTAATTATATTGTATTATTACTCACTATGTACTGTTATATTTCATTTATTTATACACGTGCTTGAAAGTATGATACCTCGTGCCGTGACATATTATGAATGACATCAATGGTTTCCGTAATAGCATTTTATGATACTCTAAACAATTAATACCATAACTTTTTTCTTATACGAAAATGTAAGATTGTTTTAAAAACTTCCTATTCTTATCAGTTAATCGTAGATACACTAAAGCCTTTCGAGATGATGGTCAATAAAACTCTGTTAAAATCTTTCCGCTGTACCGATCTTCTAATCGATCAAGGAAAACGATATATCGTAATTAAAATTAAGCATTTATAATACATAAGATATATAAAAAAAAATAATAGTAATTCTTACGCAATTGTATACAAATATTTGTTATGAAATTGTTTTGACAAACATGTAGCAATATACTTTGACGTTACATGCCGGAGAATAACATCACGTAAATAAATGTTACGCATGTGATGTTTTTTTATGCTTTTCATTTTTTTGTACAATTCATTTGCATTTTCCGAGTTTTTCTTTGTAACAATGATAAATGCTTCATTTCTTCGACATATAATTTTTTATTCGAATAGAATATACACTCGGAAAGCTGATCATGGAAGGAAAAACCAAAAAGGTCTTTGAAATTTCAAATGATCCTACCCTATGTCTTTTAAAAAGTAAAGATTGTATTACTGCTGGAGATGGTGTAAAAGCACATGATTTGAAGGGTAAAGCTGCAATTAGTACAGATACAACAGCCAAGGTCTTCAAGTTATTAAATGCAGCTGGAATAAAAACTGCATTTGTTCTAGTAGCAAGTGAAACCACTTTTATTGCACATAAATGTCAAATGCTTCCCATAGAATGGGTTACTAGAAGATTGGCAACTGGTAGTTTTTTGAAAAGGCATACAGGTATAAAGATTGTAGTCCTAAAAATTTGAAAAAAAAAAAAACAAAAAAAAAACATAAATGAATTTATTTGTTTTATTTCATAGGAGTTTCTGAAGGATACAGATTTAATCCACCATTGCAAGAAACATTCTTTAAAGATGATAGCAATCATGATCCTCAATGGTCAGAAGAAGAAGTTATTTCTGCTGGTTTTAAGTTAAATGGTCTTGTAATAGGAAAGGATGAATATGACATTATGCAACGTACTGCGCTTGCTGTATTTGAAATTCTAGAAAGAGCATGGCTAACTAGACAGTGTGCTCTTATAGATATGAAAATAGAATTTGGTATAAATGTAAACGGTGAAATTATGGTAGCAGATATAATTGACAGTGATTCTTGGAGACTTTGGCCATCTGGTGATAAAAGACTGATGAAAGATAAACAAGTATAATATGCCATCATTTTATAAGAATAGATAATACATGTAATTATTTTACCTTAATATATTCTTTTTGTGTGTGTGTGGTTTTGTTAGGTGTATAGAAATTTAGCTACTGTAACTGAGGAAGATTTAAATACTGTAAAACACAATTTTGAATGGATAGCAGATCAACTGAACTATCTTATTCCACCACCTAGCAGCCTTGTTGTTATCCTAATGGGATCACCTTCTGATCATGAGCACTGTACACAAATAGCAAAATATGCAAAGCAGTTGTATTTAGAAGTTAAAATTCGGGTATGCAGTGCGCACAAGGGTACCCAAGAAGTATTACGTATTCTTGCAGAGTATGAAGGTAGTTTTAAAAAGGTACATTTATCATCTGTTTAAAAAGTTGGTAGATTATAAAAATTTGTATATTGTTTTTTTTCGTATGATTTTACTTGTTTAAGTAAATTGTTTTATATTTTGTGTGCATTTAAAAAAATATTTTTAATTTTGCAATAGAAAAACATATAACATATTTACATTTCGTTTGAATATAAATATCATCTATGTATATGTAGTAATAATGATTCACTATATTTAATATGCAGACGATTATGTTCGAACTTATTATTGCCAATATATGCGCACATATATATATGTTATTAATCAGCAAAACATAATGATAAAACCGTTGATATTAACGAACGTATATTGTTTATTTCTACATTATCGTGAGTATTTCTTATTTTTCCTAGGTGGTGCTAATAGCTGTAGCAGGGAGAAGTAACGGTTTGGGTCCAGTACTCTCTGGAAACACGTCTTTGCCTGTTATTAATTGCCCGCCTCTCAAACCAGAAAACATTGCACAAGATCTGTGGTCGTCTGTTAATGTTCCTTCAGGTAAATTGTGGATTATACGTGATCATAATTTTGGCTTATGCTATGATAAGACAATTAAATACATCCTTGTTGTTTGTAGGAATCGGATGTACCACAGTCGTTTATCCTGAAAGCGCAGCACTTGCAGCCGCTCAAATTCATGCGTTGCACGATCATGTCGTTTGGGCACATCTGCGAGTAAAGCAGTTAATGAATTTTATTGCTTTAAAACAAGCAGATTGTAAACTAAGGAATCTTGAAATATAAAATTTTCAAGTACGTATTTAATATTCATATAGTTTCATAAGTTAGTTTTATAATTTAAATGCTAACTGTTGCATATTTGATCGCAGATGCTGATACGGATTAAGAAATAATACATGGCGAATACCTTTCGACACCTAATCGCAAATGACGAATGAATTTTCTTTTTTCTTTTACTGATATCATTTGTAGTGGAATAGATGTATAAATTTTTTATTTTCGTATTCAAATATTGAATTAACTAATGAATTTAATATCGTACATAAATGTTCATGTTAGCTCTTTTTGTGTATGTCGTGTTATTGTTTCTTCTAGTTATTCTCTATTGGTTACAAGTATATAACATTCATATATTTCCATTTAAACAAATCTTTGAGTAGGGCAAGAATGTCACAATTTTGCATACTATTTTTCTATTCTAAAATAAAAGGAAATAAACAATGTATATAAACTAAAACATTATAAAACTGAACACTTACTATATAACAACTGTTATCATAAATTTTGACTTGCTAAGGCTTCTATTTCATTAATCTCTTTTGGACATGTTTCTGTTAAGATTACTGGACCATTTTCCGTTATTAAAATATCATCCTCAATGCGTACACCTAAACCATAAAACTCTGGTGGAGCAAATTTATTTTTGTGATTAATATATATACCTGTAAATGATAAAAAATGAACATTTATAATAATAATAATAATAATAATGAATAATTTTTTGAATAAATAATGTTATTCGATATGTCGTACCAGGTTCTACCGTAATTATCATTCCTGGCTGAAGTTTCAAGTTTCTAGACATTTTTCCTGTGTCATGTATGTCCATTCCCAAGTAGTGACTGACATGGTGAGGACAATAAGTATGAACTGCAGAAAATAACTCAGTTCTACTCAAATCTTTTGGTATTAATCTAATTTCTTGTAATCTTTTGCTTAGCAAGGAACACATATCATGATATAATTGATCTAATGAAGGAAATTCTTTCAATTGACGAATTAAAGTCTTTTGAACATCCAATACTACATCGTATACAATTTTTTGTTCTTGAGTAAAAGTGCCATTAATTGGCCATGTTCTAGTTACATCTGATGAGTAACCATGATATTCACAACCTACAAAAATTTGAAATAAAATCAAATTGGAAATAAATGAGAACAACATTAACATGCATGTATACCGCAGTTCACCAGAGTCCATAACTGCGAAAAGACCAGTTTTCGTTCTTTGCGCATCTCCAGTACGCATCTTCGCCCTGATTGGCGATACTCCCAAACGAAGTGGAAAGCGATTAGCAGAGAGCTCGCTGCGTTCCCCCACCATCTTCCAACCTGCGCGTCGCAGTTATGGACTCTGGTGAACTGCGTTATATATAACTAAACGAACCAGCATCCATTAAAACCATTTCTCCATTTTGAATGATTTGATTGTTACTAATATAGTGGATGACATTGGAATTTTTGCCTGCTGCAATAACTGGTGGATATGCTAAAAATTCTGCACCATTCATACGACTTTCATAATCTACAATTGCAAATAAATGGTGTTCGCTCATTTTTGGTTTTGAAACTTCTATTGTTTTAGATATTGCAGCTGAAATAATTTCACAGCTCTTTTTCATCAAGTCTATTTCAGATTGTGATTTAATTAATCTGATTTTATGTATTATATTTGTTGGAGAAATGAACTTTTGACTATTAGTGAATTTAACTAATTCACATAATTTTCTGTGTAAATTTGACTGTACTATGTCAATATTATCATACCAAATGGTGTTTTTTTTATTCTCCTTCACAAAAGAGACAAAAAATTGTTCAAATTCAGTTATTGGTAGAGCTAAATCAATGCCAAACATTTTAGGTGCTCTTTCAACCCCACTTCTAGGACCATCCCACAATTCAGAATGTTCATCTTGCGGTGCCACAAATAATGTAGTCATAAAATTTTCATTCTTTGCTATTATTACCAAAATACTGTCTGGTTCTTGACAACCAGTGAGATACAAAAAATCTGTATTTTGGCGAAAAACATATGGTATTTTACCAGACATGTATACTTTAGATGAAGATGGGATAATTACAATATGTGGTTCATTAAGATTTGCAATAGAAGCATGCGAAACAATACTCTTTGTTAATTTTTCTCGTCTCTTTTTGAACTCATCCAGTTGAATACCTGGTATAACTTCTCCTTCCTTCATTAAATGAGGATGGGTTATTGCTGTTGGTTGACCACATGATTGGCAGACAATTGTCGACGATTCCTCAGCTTGTCGTCGATTTAAATTATTGGAAAAGGAATCTAATGAATATCTTATGTACCTTCGTTGTCCTAAAAATCATGATTAATAGCAAAGTAGTATTTAAAATGAATTTTTAATCTCGTACATTTTTAAAAATATAACCTATTACATATCGATACTTTTATTTGTATTTCTTACCATATTTTTTAATTTGTAGCAGAAGAGAATTTCTTACAGTCGTAAACATTATAAATTACTCTTAATTAAAATTCTTATATGTATCAAAATTTTCGTTCAATAAAGTACTAAAAATATTGACACTTTTAGGCACTGCTGGGTCAGTGCTGACTTGATTTCTGCAGTAGTTCCATAAACTCTGTACGGTATATACATTGTTTGTAATTTGACAGTAAGGCAATGATCTATTTCGACAAATCAGTGATGGGTTTTGTGTTAGTTTTTTCTAAATACTGCAAATCCATGACCATCGCTTAAGTTCTTTTTTTACGATCAATAAACCGCCTGTATAACATTGCGTGATTTTCCGTGAAAAATTGAATTTGGTCGTCGCGATGAAATGTAGCGATAACAAGTAAAAATCATAAAGTAGTGAACAATGACAATTTTAAATAATCATAAATTGCAGTTTTGTTAATTAACGCGATCTAATTATGCAAATATTCCGGAATAATGATTAATTTTTAATGACATGAAATAAAATGAACAGGTTGCAAATTTTCAAATGTGCCAGAGGAAGAGCACTAAAAATTTCACTTAAGAAGTTTCATTAACCTGTGATAAGTAATTCTCAAAAACATTAGAATACTTTGTATTTAGATTTCTTCTTGTATAATTGGGATTTGAATCCTCTGATTAAATGAAGAAGAGTACAATGCATTTGCAACAAAGGAAACTGGAATAATTTAATATTACTGAAGAGAATCACCAATATCCTTTATCAATTAAAAAATAAGCAAGATACAGTAAAGAATACTATATATTTAGATTTTGTAGATTCAAAGTAAATATTTCTAGAAGCTTGATACACGTAACAAAATCAAGATGAGCATTCAGTTGGATATTGTAATAAGGCCAGAGATCCGCTTGGATGCAAAATGGCTGAAAACAGATCTGAAACGTTTACTTTATCGGGATGGTTTGGCAGAGCTTTGGAATGAAATGGTACAGGATGGTGAAATTGTAGGTTCCTTCAGTGATGGACTAATTAATGCAGCTGGTATAATAGCCAAAAAAGGTAGTAAAAGAGCTTTAATAATGAACAAGTTATAATTAATTATTTGAATTAACAAAATATATGATACTCAGGAGAAAGTGGTCATTATTATTGTAACATGAGGGTTTTGTCCTGTCTGTGTTGCGATGGAATTTGCGGTCCGCATCGTGGTTGTAATTGTGGACCTTGCCAAAAATTAGACGAGGAAGAAGCAGCAAGAGCAAACAAGCATGTAGAAAAAAGTATGCCAAGCCAACAAGTGATAGATTCGTGGCTTTGGGGTCCTCAACCATGTAAAGAATTTTATTTTAATATAAAACAATGTTTCGTTTGAGATATTATATTTATATTGTATAATCAAGTGGAAAATATTTCACTTGAAGAGCATTCTAGGATGTATAATATTTGAAAAATTTTTTAGCTATTTCTGATCTAACAACATGTATTGATTTATTGATCAAGGAACAAAGAAAACTGTGTTATGAAGTTGCAAATAGTACATTGTCTGCTACTCGATTACGGCAACGCTTAGTCGTAGCACGTCGATACTTGACAGCTCTTTCTCGTCATGAACCTCAGGAAGCTAAAGATATCCCACCGGCGCTAAAACCTGCTACTAAATTGCAAAAAATGTACAGTATACAACTTAAATACGAAAATAATAGAGCAAATCCGGCATGTATTATTCTTTATTTGGAATGAATTTAAATGAAATATGTGTAACAATTTCAGTATCAGACCGAATGAGAAAGCAACATTAGGTTTAGCACGAGTAGGCTCTCGTGCGGCATTAAATTTTTCCTTCGCATACTTACGACGAGCTTGGAGATCCGGAGAAGATGTAGAATTTTGTAGCGAGCTTCTGTCCGAATCACTGGAAGCGTTACAGTCATTGCCTGAGGCTACGCTTTTTGACGAAAACAACGTTTCCCAAGTTTGGTTGGAAGTAGTTGAACGATCAGCGAAATTTTTGAGACAAGTTGTTACAGGGTATTTACAGTATACATATTAATCAGTTCATCAGTTGTTATTCATATTAAATAATTTGTTTTGTTTCTTATTTTTTATTCAAATTTTGCAAATGTTAAAATACATGTAATAATATGAAAATTGTTTGATTTTTAGAGAGATAGTTAACGGAAGATCATGGTGTCCTATCCCATTAGCCGATCAACATACGGCTCTTTGCTTGTTATTAGAATTGGTAACGCAGAGAGCTACACTGTCAAGTTTACTGGATTCCGTTTGCTTGTTGCTTCATTTGAGTGGTAAACATAAGCATCAAGATAATCGTGTTATGCCACCTGGAAGCATGGCACCATTGGTTCCATTACTTAGAAGATTGAACGCTATTCCAGCCTTAAAATCAAGACGAACAGATGTAAACGTGGCGCCAGGTCCTTGCGAAGTTTTGCTCAAGTATCTAAGGCTACCCGAGGATGACTCGACGTCCGTTGATTTAAGAAAAGCAGCAGTGATTATAATGTGCAATCTAAGCAGATTAGCTACTCCTCTTTTACCGCCGATCATAACCGATAGGTTCTTGAAAAATCAAAATCAAACGCTTGAAGAAGTTCTAGCTTGGGGCAGCGTGAAATTCGGTGGCAATGGATCGTCTCCGTTTTATTGCGACGCTATCGCAGAACTTGGTATTAAACAGCTATGCTGCACCGAAAGAGCGCTAATGATTCTCTCCACCAGTGGAAATGTGTACATGATGTATTATGGGTCGGAAACTCAATACCCTCAAAGAGTGTACGGATTTTCGGATAAATCTGTCATAATGATCGCCTCTCATCCAGATGGTAAACATTATTTAGCACTGACTCAAGACAGTTCCGTGTATTCGTGGGGAAACGGGGACGGTGGTCGATTAGGACACGGAGATAGGACGTGGTACGAAGAGCCAAAACTGATCGAGCCGTTGGTCGACAAGAACATCACGTTTATAGCTTGCGGGAGTACTTATTCGGCAGCTCTCACCTCGAATGGTGAATTGTACACCTGGGGGCGAGGGAATTATGGCAGATTGGGCCACGGAAATTCAGACGACGTAACGGTACCTACGTTGGTAAGCGCCCTGAACGGACACATGGTTGTATACGTGGCGTGTGGTAGCGGTGATTCTCAGACACTGTGCGTCACCGCGTCTGGTATAGTATTCTCCTGGGGCGACGGTGATTACGGAAAGCTTGGTAGAGGAGGCTGCGATGGATCGAAAACACCGAAGATAGTCGATAAATTGTTGGACATAAACGTGGCTAAAGTGTACTGTGGCGGGCAATTTTCAGCAGCGTTAACTGCATACGGAGAAGTGTACACTTGGGGAAAAGGAGAAGCGTATCGTTTGGGCCACGGGAACGAGGAGCATGTAAGATATCCGAAAGCGATCGAAGCGTTGAAAGGGAAAAAAGTGAAGGAACTGTGCGTCGGAAGCTTACACGTACTGGCATTGACAGAGGATCAATTGGTTTATGGATGGGGTAGGAACGATTATGGTCAGATCGATCCAGCGTTGGGCACCGTCGTGTCGGAGCCTACACTCTGTCCGACACTGTCCGGTAAAAACGTGATCGGCCTAGCTTGCGGACCAACGCAAAGTTTCGCATGGTGTACATCGGCCTGGTCGGTTGCCAGCCGAGTAGCATTCGTCGTGGACATTTGCGAAGACACCTTTCGACTTTTGGACACGCTGTTGAGCAAGGCATGCGAAGGATTGCCAAGCGTGCGACCACCTACCCAAGACCGCGAATGTTTAGCCGTCGCAACGTTGAACTTGATCCGATTACAATTGCACACTATGATAACGCACAACATCGACTGTAAATCGATCGGTCTGGCTGGCAGTCCGTTATTGAATTCTTTGAAGCAACGATGCGTCACGCTTGCAAGCGGCATAGGAATTCTAGCAACGATTCAAGAGGCGGCCCAAGCTGTTTTACAAACCGGTTGGAGTATTTTATTGCCTACAGCGAACGAACGCGCAAAGACTCTGTCGAATTTCTTATCGAAAGCGAACGGTAATTTGGAGCAAATAAATGCAAGCAACAACAACAATAACAACAACAACGGTAACAGTAACAGTAACAATAACAATAATAACAGCAACGGTCAACAGTTTATGGCCGATTTACTGGTTTCCAGCTTAATGGCGGACGGTGGTCTAGAATTAGCGCTGAAAACGGCGGTGAAAGCAGAGACGACCGATGTCGTGGACGAAAAGGAATTTCTCACTATAACTAAAACCAGCGACACGAAACAAGCGAAGGAATTGAATTCAGAAAAGAACCACACTACCATATCGTTGTTACAATTGATAAAACAATTAATTAAAAATGGTACCTGCATCACGCAATCAAGATTAGCGGCCGCTGACCAGTCGGATCGTAATTGCGAGGAATCGCAACGAAGAGATAGTTATCCCAGCTTGAATCTTCTGTTAAAATTTCAACGGTTGCTGATCGCTCAAGTATACGAGTGCATCAACGAGTCTGAGACGAAGAATTTACGCGATCAGGAGATGCTCGGAGCGGAGTCGCTCTTGAAGAAATACATTTCACAGATTTCTGTTCACGTGATCGAGGTGATGACACTAGCCGCCGAATTAGCAAACACCAGCATCAAGCGGTTCGTTTTCGTCAGCACCATCTTGAAGAGCGACATCGCGAACGTTTTGTTACCGGAATTAGTTACTTGTCTAATCTTGTTGCAACTGGACCATCCAATGTTGTTGCTCAACATGAATTGGATGGAAATAATGACCCCGATGTTGGACGCGTTAGATCAGTTCAACAAATTAGTGCCAACGATCGAGAAGAACGAAATGGACGATCTGTCCTGGCCAGGAATTATAGCTCCGCAGCACGGTAATAAGGTTTCGATCTCGGACGAACCTTCGGTCATCCGTTGGGCGGATTTGGAGAATCATAATCGCGACGGTGGTCTTTGGGTGGTGGTGAACAACAACGTGTACGACGTTCAAGATGTTCGTCTGGAGGGAAAGTCGAATTCGTTGGAGGGTTTACAAAGAAGCGTTGCCGGTAGCTGGGACGGTTCAGGCGAGATAACCGCACCCCGTGGTCAATTGGCGCGAACAATGATGGATTCTTATTTCGTCGGTCATTATTGTCACTCGGAGCCCGAGAACGCTGAAATTACCATCGACGTTACGGACGTATGTTCTTCTTTACTCGACACGGAGAGAGCTTTAGCTTTTCTCTTGGGACTACACGCTCACAGAATGCGACAAAGTTTACCTTTACAAACGGCCGAAGAGGAGGCCGGGATTTGGTTGAACAGGAATTTTCTTCGAGGCGGTTTACAGATCTTACAACCGCCGAATCCTTACGAGGAGGAAAAGGACGAAGCGAGAAGCAACACGTCGACGGCGGCGAACTCTCCGACGGAGCCTCCGCTTCTTCCTGTACGCGATCGCAAGAACGAGCCGCAAAAGGAATGGGACGATCGTGTGACCGCGTTTATATGCGCCCTGGCGGAGACTCACAACAGAAGCGACGCACAAGTGCAAACTTTTTTGACTCTAGTCGAGAAATACTCGAAGGCCAATAATCTTTTAGCCCATACAGATTTTTGCGGCGATCATCCGGTCGAGGAAGTTAGCAGACTTTTAATGGCTGTTATCATCAAACACCTCGCTTTAGGCAATCAGGCGATCAGCTTGATCGATCAGGAAACCGGAAACGATAACGGTGCTAGACTAACGAAGCCGTTGGCCGATATGGTCAGAGCGATTCATCAGACCAAATGGAACTTGATCAGGATCAGGCAGCAACAGAACAGAAGTTACAAGGAGGTTTGCGCTCCGGCACAAGAGAAATGCAGATTCCTTCTGCACGAAGTGCGTTCGGCTACCAGTTACGAGATCAAAGGGTTACGTGATCTGAAACTGTTGCACACGACGCCGAGATTCAAGAAGACCGTTCAGACGACGATCAGGGACATTCGAAAGAACAGAGAATCGCCGAGCAAACCCGAGGACATAGTGAACGTTTCGATTCAGAACGCAAAGATGAAGAGTAAATCGGACGGGGATACGACGCCGAAGGAAGCGAAGCCACCGGCTTCGCCGAGATTCGAGAGTCTGTCGGACGCGAAGAAAATGTGCGGCAAGATAACCGAAAGGATCAGGCAACGAACGTTGAACATCGACTCGAACGAACTGATGACGAATATCATTAATTTTGTGATCACAGAGGACGGTGGAGACGTCGAGACTCTGCGCAGAGCCATGTACTGTCAAATGCAACGTGCGAAATTACGCGAACAAGGTATCCTTATGATGCAGCAGTTGCTGAAGAAGGACTGTTTGATCACGTCGGTCAAGTATTCGTTGTTAAACGGTTGGCTCGGCTTGTCTCACGAGAATAAGTTCCTAGCCGACGGGATAATTCATTGCCTTCAAGATATTCGTTCGATAACACCGTATCAAAAGTCGAAGATCATTTTAGCCGAAGCAGAGGTTACATCGTGGGCGGTTCAAGCTTTACGAGCGTTCGTAGTTCAGGCAGAAGTGCCAACCAAGCCGAAAGTTAGCGACAAAAGCAGCTTGAATCAGGGTACGTACACCTGGTTGCGGAAGTTGCCCAGGGCAAGATTCTTGCTCACGATACTGGGCATGATATCGAATTATCAACACGCGAACGAAATTGGCTTGCTAATCAATTCCGGCACCGTGTCGAGCATTCTGACGTTGCTCAGGCAAATCGGACCGTCCACGTTCGCGGACGAATCGAAAGCAAAGGAGGCGACTACGGCCATATACGAGGACAGCTTGGAGAAGACGAAACCGGCGAGCGTTCAGCTGAACGGTATGGAACTGGCGGCTCTGATGAAAACCGGAACAAGGGTGGTTCGTGGCGTCGATTGGAAGTGGGGCGATCAAGATGGCCCGCCACCGGGCGAGGGTCAAGTGATCGGAGAGCTTGGCGAGGACGGCTGGATTCGAGTGCAATGGGACAACGGTACCACCAACTCGTATCGCATGGGCAAGGAGGGAAAGTATGATTTGAAACTTGTGGAACCACCAACACCACCCGAGACCGACACCGACGTCGATTCTCCGTTGGACGGGGCTGTCGCTAAAGCGGAAAAAAGGAACGATTTCACGGATGTGCATCCGACTACTTGTCTCAAGTCCGCTTCCGTCACCGTGCTCAGGCTTGCGCTGCTCTGTTGCGGCATCGAAGCCGATAAAGTATCCCCCTCCGCCATAAAGATACTCGCTTCGGTTTTACGCGGTATCATATCTTCCGCGTACAAATACAATTTGAGTAGCCACTCGCAATTAGCCAGAGAACATCACGAAACTTGGGCGACCCTTGGTTTGCTCCGAGCGATCGCGAAATCGACGGAACTCTGCAAGGCTTTGAGCACCAACGCGTGGATCGATTTCCTCTTGAGCGTCATTGCCGAGGAGGCGAATCCGAACCTGGAGAAGCAGATAATGGCGGTGCGTTTGTTGGCCGCAGTTTTACCCTCCTGGTCCGCTGACAATCCCAACATGACGCCGTTATTGGAGAAAATCTTTCGTATACTTGGACACATCGCGCTTGCTTGCGATCTCGGCACTTCGTCGGAGCTTTACTCGAACAAATGTCGCGTATCTCTTACCGCCTCTCACAGTTCCACCGTCGCGGAGGAGCTCGTCTCTCTGATTCGACACTTGCATTCCCTTTCGAAGTGGAACGCCAGCTTGAACGGGTTCCTCGCTTCGAAGTTGTCGCTTGCCTCGGATCTATTGAGCGACGGACCACTGTTTCACATACAAGTGAACGAGAATGGAGGCGAGAATAGTGTGAATATACAAGATACCGTGATGGCTGCTCTGATCGTCGTGGGAAGTCTGGACGACAGACCGAGGATCGGCGGTTTGGTCGACGTTGACGGACAAATTGGCACGATATGTAAATTCACCAGACACTCGAAGATACTCGTACAGATGCACGACGAGAACGACACGCGCAGAAAGGTTCCTTTCGTCGCGATTAAACGTATCGGTGAGAGGTTTCGTTTGGATCGGATGCCTTTGCCAGATTGTTTCGTACCCACTTGGGCCAATTTATTGCTGGGTTATCAAGGAATGGACAAGAGACCGAACGGTATGCCTGTGATAGCCGGTACCGTAAACGCGTCCATCTTACGCAGTCAACAGCAACAGCTTGCCGCGTTGAACGCGGGCAAAGCAATCTTGGATCATCAATCGAAACTTCGAAGAGTGTTGAGATACGTGATAAATAAGAGTAACGGCGTTAGTAACGTTAACGATGACATCGGCTGCTGCTGCGACGAAAGCAACGTCGGTGTCCCCGGAGCTACCGTTCTTCTCGAGGATCACGTTCACGATAATCTAGAAAACCTGGAGCACAATCACGATCTGGATCACGATTACGATCACAACCACGACCACGATCACGATCACGATCACGATCACGGCGATCATAACGAGGAAGATAACGACGGCGAGGATGTTGGCGACGACGAGGGCGAGGACGCAGGAGGTGGAGACGGCGACAACGGGAGAGAATTCCGCGCATCTAGTTGTGTTCACATCAGCGACAACAGCGAGGCGATTCGTCGGGTTGGCGAGGCTGTGATCCAACGAGACGGTGATAGCTACAACGCGAACGACGAGGACAGTAACAGCAGCGTCGGTGGTAAGGATGTTTCTCGGCCGAAACGCGTTACCTTGTTCCAAGAAATGTTGATGCGAGCCACGCGACCGCAACCGTTAAAGCCGATATTTAAACGGAAGGAATTAGAGGAAGCAGCGTTAGCGGTTTCTCAGTATTTAGCCTCCGAACTGAGACACTCTCCCATTCAACGAACGGGCCCGTTTTCCGATCCGGACTCCCCCGCGTCCGATTGTTCTTTAGTATCACTTACGTCGAGCCAAAAGAAACATTGCAGAAGCAACGGAAGAAAAAGTCCTTCGCCTACGAGTCCACTGGTAGCTCAGCTTATAGAGATGGGTTTTCCAAAGAAGAGCGTAGAGTTCGCGATCAAGAATCTCAGCACCGTGGTAGGATTTATCACGGCGGAAAGCGTGGTGGCGTGGTTGCTGGAAAATCCGGACGCTGCCTTGAGCGACAGCGAAACGTTGTCCAGCGTGTACGGGTTGTCGGATCCCGATGATTCGGCTAGCGACAACATCGACGATTCCCCGTCGACCCACGACCCTGTCTCCTCGAACGTGCCGCAAAATTACATGAAACGTTCCGATTTTCTCTGGGTCGACGAGTACGCGATCTACGTGCGTGACAATCTGATTCCCGGGATGTTGGTACGATGTTGCAAGAGCTACGAGGAAGTGGAATACGGTGACGTTGGTCAAGTGATCAAAATCGACCCGGAGGGATTGCACGATTTGAACGTTCAAGTCGCCTGGCAACGGAAAGGTGGTACGTACTGGGTGAGATTCATTCACATCGAACTGTTGGGTCATCCGCCAGCGACCCCGGGTCCTGCAGCGCTGAAAATCGGCGACAAGGTTCGAGTGAAAGCGTCGGTGACGGTGCCGAAGTACAAATGGGGATCGGTGAATCATCAGAGCGTCGGGGTAGTTACCGGCATAATAAACAACGGGAAAGATGTATCGGTTGATTTTCCGCAACAAAGCGGCTGGACTGGTTGCGCGATCGAAATGGAAAGAGTACCTTCCTGCCATCATTCGGTCTCTTGCAATTCCTGCCATCTTCTACCGATATCCGGACCTCGGTTCAAGTGCAAGTACTGCGAGAGTTACAACTTGTGCGAGAATTGCTTTTACACGAAACGTTGCCATCGGCACGGGTTCAATCGAATCGTGGAACCGGGCTCGGCAGCGGTGTACGCCGGTAAACCGGGTAGATATCATCGGCAAGACTTCACGGAAACCTCCTTGATACACGATTGGTCCAAATGCATTCGGACCTTGAGCGTGTCTTCGCGTGAGAATTGGGCAACGCGGCTGGTCAACGAGTCCGGACAGTACTGGCAGAGTTGTGGTTTACAGGGTAAACACTGGATTCGATTGGAAATGTTCCCGGGCATTCTGGTGCATTCGTTGAAGATCGTCGTGAACCCGCAGGACAGTAGTTACATGCCGTCGTTGATAGCGGTGAACGTTGGCGACTCGTTCACCGGTTTGGTAGAATTGGCGATAATTAGCGTACGACATACCGACACCAGCGTCCTGTTGCTCCAGGACGTGAAGAAATATTACCCTTGTATCGAGATCTCGATAAAACAGTGTCGGAACGGTGGTATAGATTGCAAGATTCACGGACTTCAGATAGTCGGTAAGAAAAAGCTGTTCGAAAATCAACTGGCAACGTCGGTATCGTTTCTAGCTTCGGACTGGGAGATCGTTCAGGAGCAGATGAGCTCTCAACGAGCAGCCGAGGTGCCGCAACACTCGGCCGTATACGTATGGGGACTGAACGACAAGGATCAACTTGGAGGTTTGAAGGGATCAAAGATCAAGCTGCCCGTTTACAGCGAAGCTCTTTCAAAATTGAAGCCAGTTCACATAGCCGGGGGTAGTAAGACTCTTTTCGTAGTCAGTCAAGAAGGAAAATTATACGCCTGCGGAGAAGGTACGAACGGTAGGCTGGGCCTCGGCGACGATAGCAACGTATGCGAGCCAAAGCTCATTCCGTTTTTGAGTCAATACGTGATCAAGAAAGTGGCGGTGCACTCAGGTGGAAAGCACGCGTTGGCCCTTACGCAGGACGGCAGGGTGTTTTCATGGGGCGAAGGAGAAGACGGTAAACTAGGCCACGGTAATTGCTTGTCGCTGGACAAACCGAGACTGATCGAATCGCTCAAGTCGAAAAGAATCCGTGATATCGCGTGTGGATCCGGTCATTCGGCCGCTATAACCAGCAGCGGGGAGCTTTACACTTGGGGCTTGGGCGAGTACGGAAGATTGGGCCACGGCGACACCAGCACCCAACTGAAACCAAAATTAGTGCAATCTCTGGTGGGCCAGAGGGTGATACAAGTCGCTTGTGGCAGCAGGGATGCTCAGACAATGGCGTTAACCGCCGATGGTTCGGTTTATTCGTGGGGCGACGGGGACTTTGGTAAGCTCGGTCGAGGAGGTAGCGACGGATGTTACACGCCTTTATTGGTCGATCGGTTGAACGGTTTAGGGGTAGTACAGATTGAATGCGGTGCTCAGTTCTCCCTCGCGTTGACCAAATACGGCGAGGTTTGGACGTGGGGCAAAGGAGACTATTTCCGACTCGGTCACGGTAACGATCATCACGTGAGGAAACCTACGCTGGTCGAGGGTCTTCGAGGCAAGAAGGTGATTCACGTGGCCGTCGGTGCTCTCCACTGTTTAGCGGTGACGGACGCGGGACAGGTTTACGCTTGGGGCGACAACGATCACGGACAACAGGGAAATGGATCGACGATCGTCAACAAGAAACCATCGTTAGTGCACGAACTCGACGACACCAGAGTGAACCGAGTTTCATGCGGCTCGAGTCACAGCATCGCCTGGGTCTTGACCGACCAACCAGCGGCTAACAATCAAGAACCGGTTACCTTTCCGACAGCAAAGGATCCGCTCGGTCAAGCATCGCTGAGGTTCAAAAATATTCTGGACACGGAGGTGGAAGCGGAAGGAGAGATGGAAATGGAGACGGAAGCGAACGCTGGACCGATTCCGTCATGTTCGAAGAGCATCGTTCCGGCTATCGGTAACGTTGGCGATGCCGATGCTGCTACCTCTGCTAACAGGCCTTCCCTCTCGAGCATCATCCTATCGTTGGAAAGCGATGTCGCGAAACAGCAAGCGTTGCAACACGTGATAAACGCTCTTCGTATAATACAGGCAAGGATAGCCGTGGTAACGGCATTGCAAAGTCATTCTACGTTAAGACCGTCGAACAATAACAACAGCGGTGGAAACGGAGCTGGCAGATGTATCAGAGGTGGTGCTAGCGGAGGCGTCGGCGTCGCAGCCGGTGTGACCGGCGGTGTGACCGGCGGTGGCAGCGGATGTTCCATCAACGATTCGGCGATACCGGTATCGGACGGATCATCGAGCATCGCCGGAGGACACAGTCACGTGTATCAGAACGTAGGGGACAGCGCGCAAGGAGGCGGAGAAGCACCCGCGAACGCAGCGGACCTCGTCAATTTGGTCACCGCTAGTCCTAGGACGAGCCCGGAATCCGAGGACTACCCGTTGGCGGTATTTCCCTCGATGTCCAGTTCGGCCAGTTTATCTTCGCGTGCCTCCAAAATGTCCACCAGCGCGATGAGCGTGATCGCGGCTACGCTCACGTCTAACGCTCAAATAGTCGGCGAAGCGGTCGCCGCGAATTCCAATCTGGACGACTTTACGTGCACGTTGACCGAAGAGAACGCTAGAATGTTGGTCGATCTACTGAAGCTGGCCGTAGCGAACCGAATATGCAAGGGAGCCAAGGAAACTATATCTTCGGTGCTGATCGCTTTAGCAAAAACGAACGCCACGATCCGCAGCATGGTGTTGGAGCTTTGCATCACGGAACTCGAGGACACCGTGGCGAACTCGAACAACAGGAGTAACGTGCCGCAACCGGTTGTGCAGGAGAGCCCGCATCCGTACATAGACGGCACCACGTTGACCGGTCACGTGAAGATTCCTGGCGCGGAGGCGCTTAGAATCGAATTCGATCGGCATTGTTCCACCGAAAGAAGACACGATCCTCTGACAATCATGGACGGGAACAATCGAGTGGTGGCGGTGAAATCCGGTCGAAAATGGAGCGAATGGGCCGCTGAGATTCGAATTGCAGGCGACGAACTCAGATGGAGATTCTCCTCGGACGGGTCTGTGAACGGTTGGGGATGGCGATTCACCGTTTACCCTGTACTCGCAACCCTCGCGCCTCACGAACTCGTCTCAGATAGAGCGGTTCTATCGCAACCGTCTATCGTGCTTGCGGAATGTCTTCTTGACAATAGTCTGATCAATTTGGATAGAAACGTAGCGACTCGGCTCGCTGCCACTTTGGCCCAGTGCAGTCAACTGAGCGTCTTGTCTGCCCGGCAACGAATGTGGGCGTTGAAGAAGCTGCAAGTGGTATACACGACTGGACCGGGTATACGTCCAGAAATCGCTCTGTCCTCTCTTCTCGGTTCCCTGCCTCAGGCACTACTGAAACAGTACGCCTACGAAGATCCGTTGGTTCGCGGTGGCAAGCAATTAATGCACAGCGATTTCTTCAAGGTTCTTGTAGCACTCGCCTGCGACCTCGAGCTGGATGAGATGCAGTGCTGTTCGGAAATTCACAAATGGTCTTGGTTCCGAAGGTATTGCCTTTCCGCTCGAGTAGCCAAGTCTCTGGTGAATCGAACACCGTTCCCAAAGGCGTTCTGCCTCGAAGTTACGAAACGAATAAACGAGATGATCACGGACGGCGAGGGGAACACGAAGGATCACGAGAATCACGAGCTGTTCAAGCAAGAGCACGACGAACAATTGTTGCTGTGGTTGAATCGAAGACCGGAAGATTGGACGTTATCGTGGGACGGATCCGGCGCGATATACGGCTGGGGTCACAATCATCGCGGTCAACTGGGTGGCCTCGAGGGCGCGAAGGTAAAGTTGCCCGTTCTTTGCGAGAGCTTGTCCGCACTTCGACCCGTTCAGCTCACCGGCGGAGAGCAAACTCTATTCGCGGTCACTGCCGATGGAAAAGTCTACGCGACCGGTAAGTCTATCGCGTTACCACTCAACTTGTTCCCTCTAACGTGAAATCTACGTCTACATAGGATACGGCGCAGTTGGACGTCTGGGAATCGGTGGCACGGATTCTGTTATGGTGCCAACCCTTTTGGAGTCCATACAACACGTATTCGTGAAAAAGGTAGCGGTCAATTCAGGAGGTAAACATTGTCTCGCTTTGAGTTCCGAGGGTCACGTGTACTCCTGGGGCGAGGGCGATGATGGGAAGCTAGGACATGGAAACAGATTGTCGTACGACCGACCGAAATTGATCGACGAATTACTCGGGACCGAAATTGTCGATATAGCCTGCGGCGGTCATCATAGCGCGGCGATCACGAGTGCCGGTTGGCTCTACACCTGGGGAAAAGGTTACCAATGTCGCGTCACCATACATACGATACGCGGCGCGTATTTTTGAAGGGAAACAAAATTCGAAGAAAATATCACCGTGCGTTGCAGGTCGGTACGGACGTCTAGGCCACGGAGATAGCGAAGATCAATTGACGCCCAAGTTGGTCGAAGCTCTACAAGATTACAAAGTAATCGACGTCGCTTGCGGAAGCGGAGACGCGCAAACCCTTTGCGTCACCGACGACGACAACGTTTGGAGCTGGGGCGACGGAGACTACGGGAAATTGGGTAGAGGAGGTAGCGACGGTTGCAAGGTTCCAATGAAAATCGATTCTCTTGCTGGACTTGGCGTGATCAAAGTTGAATGCGGTAGCCAATTTTCTGTCGCTTTGACTAGATCAGGAGCTATATACACGTGGTAAGACCGACTTGTTCTCGAAAATATTCTTTCATAAGTATACTCTTGGAATATTGAATGAGTATTACGTCCGTTTTACGTAAACAGGGGTAAAGGGGATTACCATCGGTTGGGTCACGGCACGGACGATCACGTGCGAAGACCGCGGAAAGTAGCTGCGCTTCAAGGGAAAAAGATCATCTCTATCGCGACAGGCTCGTTGCATTGCGTAGCGTGTTCCGACAAAGGGGAAGTATTCACCTGGGGCGACAACGACGAAGGCCAGCTAGGCGATGGAACGACGTGCGCTCTTCAAAGACCGAGACTGGTTCACGCGTTACAGGGTAAAAAGATAACTCGCGTCGCCTGCGGTAGCGCGCACACTTTAGCCTGGAGTACGATGAAGGCTACTCAAAGCAGAATGCCTGCCACCACACCGATGGAGTACGATCTTGTGAAAGATCTTCCGTTCCCTGTCTTGCACAACCGATTGGTGCTACTTCACCACTTTGCCGAATTGCTTTGCCCGTGTTTACCGATGTTTCCAATCACCGGTCCCATCAGCCTTGGTAAACTGGCTCCGATATTAGTGTACAGCATTAAAGAAGCAACCTTCCGTAAAGTAGTTCAAGCAACGATGGTCAGAGATCGCCAACACGGGCCGGTGATTGAATTAAATCGGATACAAGTTAAACGAGCCAGAGGCAAAGGTGGATTTGCAGGGCCAGATGGCATGAAGTCTGTCTTTGGTCAAATGGTCTCAAAGATGTCGTTGTTGACGCAGGACGTTCTCTTCTTCCCCCACAGAGTATGGAAAGTGAAATTCATCGGTAAGCATTGACAATCAATCTTTTAAACATTGTCGATCGGAAGAAAATTAACGAGATTATCTGCGTCTCTACAGGAGAGAGCGTAGACGATTGTGGCGGCGGATATAGCGAGAGTATAGCAGAGATGTGCGACGAATTACAAAACGGTTCCCTACCGTTACTTATACCGACACCGAACGGTCGTGACGACAACGGCACCAACAGAGATTGTTTCCTCTTAAACCCGGCCGCCGATTCACCGTTGCACATGAACATGTTCCGATTTCTGGGAATCTTAATGGGCATAGCCATCAGAACCGGTAGCCCGTTGAGTCTGAATCTAGCGGAACCTCTGTGGAAACAACTCGCCGGTATTCCATTAACTCCGGCAGATTTGACCGAAGTCGACAGAGATTATGTTCCCGGATTATTGTGTATACGAGACATGGATCCCGACGAAAAGGTATTTCAGACTCTTGAAATGCCTTTCTCTACACCGTCGGCTGTAGGGCATGATGTACCTTTATCCAGTAGGTAGGTATCTTCAAAGGTAAATTGCACACAATTTCAATTGCTTCGATCTCATCGTCAATTGTTTGTTTCAGGTACCGGAAAATTACGCCGGAAAACAAGCACGAGTACGTTCAGTTGGCATTGGATTATAGGCTACACGAGTTTGATGCTCAGGTAGCTGCTGTACGCGAAGGAATGTCGAAAGTTATACCTGTGCCTTTCCTGGCGTTGTTTAGCGGATCCGAACTGGAGACGATGGTCTGCGGAAGTCCAGATATACCGCTTACTTTATTAAAATCTGTTGCAACTTATAAAGGTAAATGATACATATGAGGACACACGACCCTGCCTATCTAACCACCATTAATCTTTTCTCATTAATCTGATTAATCAGGTATCGAAGCGACCTCGCCTCTGATTCAATGGTTCTGGGAGGTGATGGAAGAATTCTCTAACCAAGAAAGGTCCCTCTTTCTACGATTCGTCTGGGGTAGAACTCGATTACCGCGCACCATTGCTGACTTTCGAGGAAGAGATTTTGTGTTACAGGTATGTGATTTCTAAAGGGAGAGAAAAAAAGAAAGAATAAAGTTCAAGCTATATCGATTATTTTTTATTTATACGTTAATAGGTACTGGACAAGTATAATCCACCAGACCACTTTCTGCCTGAAAGTTACACGTGCTTCTTCCTTTTGAAAATGCCAAGGTATTCGTGTAAACCGGTATTGCGACAAAAACTAAAGTACGCGATACATTTCTGTAAAAGTATCGACACTGACGAATACGCTAGGGTACAAGCTGCGACCAATTCAGACACCGAAGAAACGGACAATCTTTCTAGCGAGGAGTACACATCGCTTTAACGAACTCTTCCATACGATCAAATTACTGTTTTTTTATCGTGAACCTTTTTTTTTTAGTATTTTTTAGCATTATTCGTGTACACGCATTATCGAACATCCTTCAAATCATTTATGCGTGCAATTTGGATCAGTTTATTAAACGCGGAAAATTAATTTCTTTTGTACTTCTGGCTCTTGCAAGGAATTTCGGTCCAGTAATTGCTTGATCGTAAAAGTGTCGAATTTTATTCGTAAAATGGTATACTCCCCTTTCGAGTAACGCTAAAACTAATTATAGTTTGTATTCGACGTTTTTCAAAATCTATAAATCTAAAAGGCAAACATATACTAAGGTATAATTCCTACAGTAACAACGTACAATATTAAATATTAAATCAGCAATGAGCTTTAGCAACCTTATTTATGAAGCTTAATAATAATAATCTTGTTATTTCATCTCGTTATTTGCATTTTACAAGTTCATTTGTTATTTAAGATTAACTGAAAATGAATCGTTACGCTTTTACGAATGAAGCTCGGCATTTTTTTAAGAATACGTTTAATCCAAAGTGTAAGTATGTACGCGCCTATAATTAATTAATTATTATTATATTTATTTATTTATTTATTTATTTTATTTATTTAAGAAAGATAAATGGAAAGAAATGTGTGCGAGTGCGTGCCCATTGTACGAGGAAGCATTCTTTTAGCTGCAGCATATTTACAACAAGTAGTGTTCGTTTTCATTTTCCAACAAAAAAATTAAAAATATTGTAAAAACAATGCGGGTTAATAATATTGTATCGCTTAGTGTACATTTAAATTTTAGATGCATGAAATTTTGTTGAATTTCACAGCACAGTTGATATTGCTAGTAAACATCTACTATGATTTTCATTTTTTGCAAAACTAAATAATCGTAAGTTTTTGTTATGTTTGTTGAAAAATATATTGTAATTGATACGGAATAAAGAGATTTATTGGTGTAATTATTGTCAGTATATAAGTATTATTACAGTATCTTTGAATTTTGTCATATTATCGCGTTAATTTTTAAAAGATAGTGTTACAAATAGATTATTTCTTTGACGGTTTCCTTATATCTACATATCAGTGAAAGAAGAACATTGAATAGTGTTGAAGATTAATGAGAGCATCCGATACGCGGATTGAAAAACAAGGTCATTAAAATGATAAAATACAAATAGAGTGATTTAAATATAAATATAACACCAGAATGAAGTGAATCCATAGTGTTTGTCTTTATACAAGAAACATGCTTCGTTTAATAAAGCATAAGGTATTTGCAATCGTTCCTTTCTTTATATTATAAGTTTAATAGTAAATTATTTTCAGTTGTGCAAAGTACGAATCGATTATGCTAGATTGTTACCGATGAAGATGATGCATTCACCACCTAAAGTACAACTACCGGACTATGCAGATGTTGTGATAATAGGTAAGAAAATACTCGAAATATTCTTTTTCTCTTGATATGTTAGATCATAAATTAAGAATAATATTTTCAGGTGGTGGTAGCGCAGGTTGCAACGCTCTTTATCACTTAGGAAAATGCGGTGTTAATGCTGTATTGTTAGACAAATCTAAATTAACATCCGGCACTACATGGCACACTGCTGGCCTTATATGGAGTGTACGTAGTCCAAGTGACGTTGAAATGGAACTGCTGAGGGTTACAAGAAACGTTCTTAACTCGTTAGAAGAAGAAACTGGAATAAATCCAGGATGGACAAATAACGGTGGACTTTACATTGCTCAGACTAATGTAAATATTCTCCTGCTCCTTTTTCTTCTTTTTTCTTTTCCGTTTTAATTTTACAGGAACGATTAGACGAATATAAACGATTGATTACTGGTTCCAAAGTTTTTGGTATTGAAGCAAATCTTATTTCCCCGCAAGAAGCAAAGAAATTATTTCCATTACTTGATGAAAACAGTTTTCAAGGAGCTGTTTATTGCACTGACGATGGCGGTATCGACCCTACTATGTTAATAAATGCTTTAACAAAATCGGCAAGAAATAATGGTTGTCAGGTATTTAGAAATTATTTCCTCCAGTTAGCAACAATCATGAACATATGTGAACTATGGTAATTATTTAGATCATAGAAGAATGCCCAGTGACAAAAATACTTACAGAGCCTACTGTAAGTAATAAAAAAGTTTGCGGAGTAGAGACACCATATGGAATTATAAAGACCGATGTTGTTCTTAATGCTGCCGGAGTTTGGTCAAAAGATACAGTTAAAATGGTTGGAATGGATATTCCTTTGATACCATTTAAGCATGCTTACATTATTACCGAGCCCATAACAGGAGTACAGAATCTTCCGAATGTCAGAGATCTTGATGCTGATGTATATTTTCGAATGCAGGGAAGCTCTATAGCTATAGGTGGTTATGAACAAAATCCAATTATGTTAGATTCAGTAAGTCTATGTTAAATCAATTTTACTGTATACTTGTATTAAGAATAACAATAGTTAATGTTTGTCTTACATTTATACAAAAGGTACCAGAAAACTTTTCATTCGGCCTCTACGAATTGGATTGGAATGTCTTTGATACACATCTGAAATCGATGACTCGTTTGATTCCTCAGTTATCAACGATCGGAATAAAATCCACTATATGTGGTCCAGAAAGCTTTACACCTGACCATAAACCGATCATGGGTAAGAATTTAAAAAATGTTTCAGATTCTTTTATCCTATTTTTACATTCCAATCATCTTAAATTTTGATACGTTCAAAAGGTGAGGATCCTCAGTGTTATGGATTGTTTCACTCTTGTGGTTATAACAGTGCTGGAATGATGTTAGGGGGTGGATGTGGAGAACAAATTGCACACTGGATAATCAATGGTCGGCCCGACAAGCATATGTTCAGCTATGATATAAGAAGGTAGAATACAATTATTCTTTTAACTAATATATCATGAATGCTTATTTTTTGGTCTTTAGATTTACTCCAGAGCAGAGAAACAATTTAGCTTGGGCAAGTGAGAGGTCTCATGAGGCATATGCGAAAAATTATAATGTTATATTTCCATACGATGAACCCCTAAGTGGTAGAAATCTAAAAACTAGTCCTTTCCATGATGTAAGATTATTCAATGAACCCCTCTTATTTTTAATAATCAATACAGTATAAACGTGTAAACGATTATTACTTTATTTGTTGTAGCAACTTGTTAACAGGGGTGCCGTTATGGAAGAACGTCAAGGTTGGGAACGACCTGGATGGTTTTCTTTAAACAAAAAGATAGAAATCATGCCATACGATTACGGTGGATATTATGGATTGCCGAAAAACAAAAATGACAAATATCGCGAAATACTAGAAAAGGAGTACAATTTTCAGATTTCACCGTATGATAACATAGTAAGCCTTTCAAATTAAGCTTTAAAATTAAGCTGTTAAAACATACTTTTATGTTAAATGAATTGATATTAAAAAATGTATACATCTGTATTAGGTTCGAGAAGAAGCTCTTGCGTGTCGAACAAATGTTGCTCTGTTTGATATGTCTTATCTTGGAAAATTCTACCTCTGTGGACCGGATGTCCAAAAAGCTGCAGATTATTTATTTACAGCAAACACAAATTGCGAATTCAACAAAACAGTTTATGCTTGTATGTTGAATCATGCCGGAGGAGTAGAAATGGACTGTACGGTTACAGTGATGGAGCCTGGCTCGGGTGGAATTGTAAATCCGATATTTAAAGAAAGAGCATTTTACATCGGTATGTTTTTACAAACTGTTACCATTCGATTGACAACATTATCATAAATTCATGATTTGTATCTTTTTAATGTTAGTTTCGGGTGGTATAGCAGCGTATCATACTTGGGCTCACATGAACAAAGTGATACAAGAAAAGGGTTTTGACGTGTCTTTACACGACGTTACAGAACAAATTGGAATTTTATCCGTGCAAGGTCCGAATAGGTATCGTATCGTATCGTACATGCTTACGTTGCTTAGATTTATACTTAGATTAATTTAAATGCTACAAATTATTGTATAGCCAAAAAATAGTGGAATCATTAATAGGAGATGAAATCTCGGACAAATCTTTGAAATTTTCAACCTCAAAATTGGTAAAAGTAAAGAATGAAACTGTCCGTTTAATTAGACTTAGTTTCGTTGGCGAGCTTGGTTTTGAATTGCACATTCCAAAATCATCCTGTCAAGAGGTTTATACAGCTTTAATAAAATGTAGTGAACCATACAAGATGAAACTTGCTGGATACAGAGCTTTGGACAGTCTTAGCTGTGAGAAAGGTATGCAAGTGAGCATTTCTGCTATTGAGATATTTATATTGCATTCGAATCATCTGTATCTTTCAGGCTATCTCCTTTGGAATTCAGATCTTAGAGTAGACGATAATCCCATAGAAGCCGGATTAGGATTTGCTTGTCGCGATTTTGGTAAATATTTGGGAAAGACGGTAGTTGATCGGGTACGAAAAATTGGAATTAAAAAGAGGCTAGTACATGTCCATGTAAATAGGTGAATATAACAAACCTTATAGTTAATTTTTATGGTTGAATTTATTATCTGTACAATGCAAATAATACTAATATTACACGTTGCGATAGTAATGTTCCATTGTGGGGTTTAGAAGCGATTTACAGAAATAATCGTGTTGTTGGTTATTTACGAAGAACAGAACGGGGATACAGTTGCGAGAAAGCTATAGGGCATGGGTGAGTAAAGTTATATCGAATGAAAATGGCATTATCATTAAATTTGTTTAACATTAGGTATGTCAAGCATCCAGATGGGGAAAATGTAACAAAAGAATTTTTAGAAAGTGGTAATTATGAAATCGAAGTTATGGGGAAGCGATATTCTTTGGACCTTTATCTCCGAAGTCCGTTTGACCCTCAGAATCAAAGATTATTGGGAATATATGAAAATAAATTTGATTCTAAATCTTAGGAGAGTATAAAAAATTAACGACTTTAATTGTAATTTCAATTTATTTATATTTATCCTGCCAAAGGATTAGCATGTATAGTTACACTATTTATTCGCGTTTCTGTGAGGGGTTTATAATTTTTAGGATTTACTGGAAGTTTTTCCAGTTGTTCAAGAGTTTCTAAACCATCTATCACCCTAAAAACAACAACAAATTTACTGATTGTGAGTATACCAATTACAACACATTTATACATTAAAGTTAAGTAATAGGTTTACTTACTTTCCAAATAAAGTATATTTAAGATCTAGATGTGGCTGAGGACCGTATGTTATAAAAAATTGACTTCCATTTGTATTTGGACCATTATTAGCCATAGATATAAGTCCTCTGGTATTATGTTTCAATTCTTCTTTAAATTCATCTTCAAATTTACGGTTCCATATTGATGTTCCACCTTTACCAGTTTGTGTAGGATCTCCAGTTTGTATGATAAAACCTTTTATATTTCGATGAAACATACAATTGTCATAGTAATTACTAGCACACAAAGCAAGGAAATTCTGCAAAATAAATAGAGTCCTTTATGATAATCGAAATACATATATAAAATTATATTGAAAAGATCAGAAATGATTACCTCACAGGTTTTTGGACACAATTCACAAAATAATTCTATCTTTATGTCTCCAACGTCGGTATGTAAAGTGACGCTCTGAAAATGAAAATCAGTTATATTTCACATTTTATTTATACATGTATATTGTATATATATTTACAGGTATGGATTTTTTGTATTGCTAATAAAATAATTAATTTTAACAGAACAAATTAAAAATAATATTCACTTGCGCACCATCTTCAGTTTAAGTGTTTATTAAATTATGAACGTCAGTATACGTTACTTATTATTGTTAATATCTCTTACGTTCTTAATTCGTTAATAACACGTACCAACAAAAAAAGTGAATATAAGTGTATGTATATTGTGCATACATAACGACAGCCATTTTGAATGTCACAAAATTACTAACGAAATCAAATGTATGTACTTATTTTTAAATAAATTCAAAACTTTATTGAGACATTATTGTAAAACGTAGCGGAAACCAGAAAAAAAAATCAAAATATACATTCGTACGAAAAAAAAGTAGAACATGTTTATATCATTTATAATTTTCTGAAATATAATTTATAAACGGTATTCAATATTTGTAACCAATTTGACTTTAGTTCAAAGCGGTAAGGAATCGTCAAAGCAGCGCCACTATTTCTGCCGAGTGTTCAGCTTGTTTCGCGTACAAGTAACGGTTAGGTAAAAAAAGATATTGAACACTTTGGTATAAGTTTAATTCGTAAAAAGTGCATTTGATCTTATTTAAGTTGAATATAAGATTACATTTTATATACTGGAAAAGAAAGAAACTTAATTGTGAAAGTTATCATAAAGGAGTGACAGGAAAATCTAGACGAGTGGCGCGTCTGTGCAAACGGGTCTCTTTGGTCGCATGACGTAATTGTATTGATCGCGGAAGAAGAGCCGAAAGTCGCGCATTCGCCATCTTGGACGAATTGTGGAAAAGAAGTTTCTGTGTCTCGCAGGCGCGGTACGCTTGTAAGAATTGTAATCCGTGGCGATCCACACATTAATTAGTTTAACTGGGAATTAACCCTTTTGTGAATTAGAAACCCATTTGGACGGACCAAGGTAAGTCATTATTTCTTTGATTTGCTTCTTCACCCAATCTTTTTTTCTACGTGGAAACCTTACTGTCTAAGCTTGTTCTACAATCATTCAACTTGGAACAGATTTTTTTTCATTTTTTTATCCATTTAGCATCATTACTGCGTCATTTTGACTTTTCAGAAGGTACTCAGTCCATGAATTATTTCTTACTGCTGAATTTTAGTACTCTTTCGCTGCAAATATTCTTGTTTTGAACTTTTGTGACTTTGACATCACAGTCGAGGGTTGGGTCCGATCGTTATACTCCGATTGTTCCACTTCTTTTCCACTTATATCTTATATTTATTTACTTTAACATTCCAAATATTTTCCTGGTCATCCCTTTGTGTTTCTTATTCTAAAAGAGCATTTTTGTAATATACATTTCCGTTTCTCTTTCTCGCATCAAGCGCTCTTGTCAACATTTTTGTTTTATGGTTCATCGGTCTTAAATTTAATTTGAACTTTTTATGTTTGTTCTGATTTTCTGTAAATATTTTTATGAACGTTTTGTCTCCTCTTTTTTTTCATTTTTTCAAGTTAAATAATTATTATCAGTAATATGTCATTTTTTAACAATTGGGTCTACATTCATTAAGATTTTAAATTTATGATTCAACTCTGTTTTCAGTGCTTTTGTTTACACTGATGCAAATAATTTTTAGTCCATATACAATTGTTATCAACTTTTATGCATTTAAAAATGTTGTGTATAAGGCACAGGAACAATCGAGTTGTCACATTTTGTTTTGAAATAATTATCACAGTTGAAAATTATTACACTTAAATAGATGTAACTTCTAAATAAAAAACTATTTGTGATTAAATAATGTTTGTATTGTTGAAAATATACATCAAAATTATATATATGATTTCAGACAAAGGGTTCGTTCTTTGGGTCTGATTGGTACTAAATGGTTGCCTGCAGACAGCATGTCTACTCTGTCAGGGCTTGTGTCGAAGGGGGAGAAAGGAAAATCCAAGTTTCAATCGTTAGACATCAATAACTTGTACCGGGTGAGTAGGGTGAGTTGGCCAAGCAGTTTTGTTAATTTTTTCCTTATATCTTTCACTTTTTCAGATATTTAATTACTTGTACAATTTTTTTTTCTTATTATTGCTGTTGTTATTATTATTTACAATAACAGTTACTGTTATTAAGCGATTATAGAAAATAGTTATCCATATAAAAGAAAATAGAGTTGGTATCTGATTTATTTTGGACGTAGGGAGAGTCTCTAGAGCAACATCAGCAAAAAAACACATTACCACGTAAACATGGAATGCAAAGTCTTGGAAAGGTGCCTTCGGCACGACGACCTCCTGCTAATCTGCCTAGTTTGAAAAGTGAACATAGCAGTAGCGATCCAGCTGTCAGCCTTGTACCAAGTGGAGGAAGCGGTTGGGCTACTACCAAAGATTCAACAACTACCACTACTACTACAACTACTACAGCTGTAACCACACCCGATACAACTACTGTAGGTTTTCTAGCAACATATGTTTATGTTAGGAAAATTTATTAAATTATGTGTTGGTAACAATAGATTTATCAAAAAATAATAAAAACTAAAAGATAACATTAATAATTTCATTATTATAGTCAAATTCTTCGCCGACACAATGTGTAGTGGGAACTACTGCAACAGCATCGTTACATCCACTACTCCCAGGACAACAAAGTATCTCCCAGCCTTCGTATTCTTCCGACGCAAACAACAAATCATCATGGAGTGCAATAATGAGCCGATCTGGAGATGGTACTGCATCAGGAGGTCAACAACAATCACAACAACAGCAGCAGCAGCAGCAACAACAACAACAACAGCAGCAGCAGCAGCAATCGGCAAACCGAGAATTAAATGCACAATATGGACCCGGACCAAGTTTACGACCCCAAAGTAAGAATCATGATGAATGTTTAACTGACAGAGAGTATCAATTGTACATTTTATATTTATTAAATGAAATAAATGAAATTGTGTATTAGCGGAAGGAAGTTGGATACAAGGTGGAAGTCGCACAGCCAGTGGTGCGGGAATAGGGGTGGCTGCTGGTTCCGGAAGTGGAACAACTTCAGCGGTCCAGGCCCCCCCTTTGAATATCACTGGATCGGGAGGGCATACAGATATACCTGGAGGCGGACGACAGAACTTGGTCCAGTCTCCCAACATGGCCATGGCCCAGGCAGGCCCTCCTCATACTTCTGCAAATAATCAGAATGCTTTAAATTCTAATTCTCACCAAGTTGGTCCAAATCTACATCATTACAGAGGACTTATTCCTCCATTTGTAAGTTTTGTCATTGTCAAATATACTTTAAATGGTTTTTATGAATAGTCATCAATATCTGTCGATTGTGTTTTTGTTTGTTTTTTTGTTTTTTCTTGGACTTTTTTTTTCTCTTTAAACCAATTTAGTTGCACAGAGGAAATTTTCCTGGTGGATTCCCTTCGCAGTTTCCGCCGAATACGAATTCCAATGGGCCTAGGCCCCGGTTCAATTACCCGCCAGAGCGATTTCCCGCTCCGCCTCCTACTCGCCAACAGGAACGCGATCAGCGTGTCGAGGAAGAAATCGTTACCCGACCAATTATTAAAGAAGAAGATCTTACTCGAATGGACGATATTTCTCGCGATGCTGGTTGGGCGGCACACGATGATATCGATTACAATCAGAAACTCGCGTTCAGCGATGAAGAAACCGAACTTGATTCTTCGAGAAAGGATGAGAAAAGAGATAACAAGGAGGAGAAAATTGAAGAAATTTCAGCTGAAGATCGGGACAAAGGTAGAGATAATCGTGACAATCGCGATAATCATGATAACCGAGATTCAAAGGAATCCCGAGATCAACCAACTCATCGGCCCTGGAATCAGAGCTCTGTACCTCGTGATTATCGTGGATCCAACGGGTCTGCTAGTTACAGCGGTCAGTCACAACTGCATTCGGTGCATTCTATAAGAGGTCAGAACATTTATGTGACGTTGATAACGTTTCTTAATTTATATTCATTCACATTATCTCGTGCTACTTGATCAGTTATAAACACGCGTTATTACGTAACAAATTTATTTATTTACATTTCTTACTTTTGCTTTTAAAAACAGGCGTGGAGGATGATGAAGCGTGGAACGAAAGACGTAGACTGAGATTTGAAGTAGATTCTGCGATTGAACGCGCCCGGCAACGTAAAGAGGAAGAGGAGAAACGATATAATGAATTAACCAGGCAGGCAGCAGCTAAGAAGTTACAAGATTTAGAGCAAAAATTGAAGGAAAAGCAAGCTAAATACAAAGAAGAGGAACGTGGACAGTCGACTGAATCGAAGAGTATAATAAATGTTCCACCGGTACCGATTCCAGTTCCCGATTGGGAAAGAGAAAGGGAAAATAGAGAAAGAGAACGATCTTGTACTGTATCCTCCGAGGGGAAAGATGAAAAGTCTTTGAATCGCGAATTGCGTGAAACCAGAGACAGTCCAAAAGATGGTCGAGAATCACGCGATCAGTTAATGTCAGATTTTCGACAAAGTGATCGGCAAGCTTTTGTAAGACAGCCGGATACTGTACGTAATGAACGTGAAAGGGAACGAGAGCGTGAACGTGAACGAGAACGAGACCGTGATCGTGATCAAAGAGACACAAGGGATCGCGAACATTTGGCATTCTCTCGTCATTTTCAAAATAATTTACCGCCTCGATTTCAAAAACAACAAGCAGAGAGAAGCGGTGCTGGTTTTAATCGAATTTCACCTTCCACCGAAAGGTCATCCACGCAGTCGGTTCCTTTTTCTCAGCAATACGATCCTAGTAGATGGGTTCATAACCACAGTTCTTTAAGTAAGTACCTGAAGTTTTATTTTTTTTTATTATTTTATTTTTTTAATTTTTTTAAACGATTAATATTATTGTGTTCAATGAATTTCGTATTAGCAGACAATAACTTAAAAACAGCACACAATGTTCCGTCTCAACGTCGAAGTAGGACAGATTCAGACATTTCTACTTCAATGGACGAAGATCGACCTCCGTCCCGAGATTACCGAGGCTCCCTCCTTCGGGACGATCGATATCGTCATTCTTCGCATCGGCCATACGATGCTCGCAAATCAGGCAGCTATTACGATGAATATAACCGCAACTCCCGAGACCATGATTACGACGACAGACATTCTCGTGATTCCTGGGAACGCGAGAGATACTTTGAGGATAACAAAGATCGAGATTCAAAGGATGGATTGGAGACCAGAGATCGTGAAAATCGAGATAT